CACCCCGCGGGCACCCCCGCCCCCTACGCCCAGGCCGTGGCCCCCCCAGCCCCCAGCGGGCCCAGCGCCGCCCAGCCCCGGCCCCCCAGCGCCCAGCCCGGCGGGGGCGGCGGCGGCAGCGGCAGCAGCAGCAGTAACAGCAGCGGCAGCGGAGGTGCCGGCAAGCAGAACGGGGCCACCAGTAAGCGGGGCTGCCGGGGGACGGGGTCCGGGGTTGCCGCTGGAGGCCCCTCTCATCCCTCTCCCTCCCGCAGGCTACAGCTCCGTCGTGGCGGACAGCCCGGCCGAGGTGGCGCTCGGCAGCAGCGGGGGCAGCAGCGCCAGCAGCCAGGCTCTGGCCCCCTCTGGCCCCCACAACCCCCCTTCCAGCACCTCGTGAGTGTCGGCTCCGTCAGGGTTGGGACACACACGCAGGCACGGTGCCCCTCTGTTGCCCATGGTGCGGACACAGGCCTTGCCCTGGCCCATTGGGACTCCCCCATGAGCTGTGTCCCACCTCTTTCCATCCGGGACACTGGGCACGGCCCCCCCCAAACCCCCCACCGCCTGGCACTCCGGCTCCCTCTTCCCCGGAGGAGCTCTGGCTGCTCCCCTCTCCCCCCTTTCCTGCCCCACGGCCACCTCACTCCCTGGAGGGCTCTGTCTGCTTTCCAGAGTGGAAGACCCCAAAGTCCTACCCATCCCCAACCACCTCCCCCAGGTCCCCGAAGCCCAGGGCAGCGCCCCCCAGGAGAGTTTCCCCTCCTGGTTAGGACCTTGGGAAGCCTGCACCCTGACACTGCCCTCCCCTCGGGAGGCTCCCAAGGGGGCGTCTGCCTGAGGCACCATGTCTGTGGCTGGAGCACCTGCTTCCACGTCCTGCTCCGGGGACCGTTTCCGGCAGCCTTTCCCTCAGCCCACCCCCGCGGTCCCTCTGCTGGCCTCCGTTTTGAGTCCCTGTCACCCTCCTGTCTGTCCCCCCATGGGGACACTCCCCTGAGCCCCCCTGTCCCCTCTGCAGGAAGGAATCCAGTGCAGCTGCCCCCGCCGGCGCTGGGGGCGTGGCCCCAGGCTCAGGGAACAGCGCCGGGGGACCCAGCCTCCTGGTGCCACTGCCCGTGAACCCGCCCAGCTCCCCGACGCCCAGCTTCAGCGATGCCAAGGCAGCCGGCGCCCTGCTCAACGGACCCCCGCAGTTCAGCGCCGCCCCGGAGATCAAGGTGGGGGCAGAGCCTGTGTCCTGCCCCTGCCAGACCTTCGCTGCACCCCCACTCTCCCCCAGGCCTCCACTGCCACCCCAGCTCCGCTCCTCACAGTCACTGCTTTCCCTCTTGCCCTGGCGCCTGGCGGTGCCCACCACCCTCTCCTCAGTCTGCCTCCCTTTCTCCTCTGGCTTCCTTCGCACTCACTGTCCGCTCTCGCCTGCTGCTCCTGGAGGAAGTCACTGAGTGAGGAAAGGCCCATCCACAGCAGCACCCTCAGTCCCCCGCCCGCCCCCCGGGCGCCCCCTGGGCCCCCCTGGGCGCCAGTGCTGAGGGAATACAGCCCGTGCACAGAGCCCGCTGGGCGGAGCGCACTGGCGCCGTGGGCTGACCTGTGAGGCGGCCCTGCAAGGCCTCGCGGGGGCTGGGTCTAAGCGGGACCCAGACGGGGAGGTGGGGTCACAGTGACGGAGGAAGAGAAGGCGGGCTCCTGCCGAGCGGTCGCTAGAAGGCTGGGTGGGGTTCAGCAGGGAGAGGAGGAAAGGAGTGTCCACTCTGCAGGAGGGTGCAGGGCAGGGTGGCTGCCTGACGTGGTGGGTGTCACCAGAGGGCAGGACACTGCGGCTTAGACCCGGTCCCACAGGCAGGATGCCCGCTGTCCGGGCCCAGCCCGTGTGCCCTCTATTCCTCCCTCCACCCGCCTGGGCAGTCACCACAGGGGGCGCTGCCTGGAAGGCTCCTGGGAGCCGGGCCAGAGCGAGCACGCCCGCCCCGAGCTGCAGGGGCAGCAGTTCAGTGTCCCTGTTCCTGGAGCGGGGTCCTCAGCTGGGGGCTCCCTCAGGGAGGGACGGAGGGGGGGAGTGAGGGGAGCCCTGGAGAGGTCCCGGGGCCGGAAGAGCAGGATGGAGAGGTGCTGTGAGGGTCTGCGTGTGTCCTGCAATGTCTGTAGCATCAGCGCAGGTCCGGCTCCGCTGTGGGTGCTCCCTGGCCAGCCCCTCGTTAGGGCGCAGCGAACACTGTGCCCACCTCGGAGTCCCCGAGTCCCAGCACCAGCCCCCCGCCCAGGGCCTGAGGCACCGGTCCCTCCCCAGGCCCCCGAGCCCCTGAGCTCCCTGAAGTCCATGGCAGAACGGGCAGCTCTCAGCTCCGCCATCGAGGACCCCGTGCCCACGCTGCACCTGACGGAGCGAGGTGAGGTCCCGGGGCCGAGGGGGCGGCCCAGCCAGGGAGGGCGCCCGCCCGGCCTCACCCAGGGCCTGGCCCGCCTCCCCGCAGACATCATCCTGAGCAGCACGGCCGCGCCCCCAGCCTCGGCCCAGCCGCCCCTGCAGCTGTCGGAGGTGAACATCCCACTGTCCCTGGGCGTGTGCCCCCTGGGGCCCGTGCCCCTCACCAAGGAGCAGCTCTACCAGCAGGCCATGGAGGAGGCCGCCTGGCACCACATGCCCCACCCCTCCGACTCGGAGCGCATCAGGTGAGGGCTGCCGGGAGGGGCTGGTCCCCAGCCCTGAGGCGAGGCGGAGCCCGCCGGGCACCGGGCACCGGCGTGGGTGCCACAGGAGGCGGGGTGAGGAGGTCAAGGCGATGAGCTGACGGCTCCCGTCCAACCGGGAGTGGGGTGTGTGTGTGTGGGAGGGGGGGATAGGCGAGAGGGGGCAGGCATGGCACTAACACCCCGGCCCCCACAGACAGTACCTCCCCCGGAACCCCTGCCCGACGCCCCCCTACCACCACCAGATGCCCCCGCCGCACTCGGACACCGTGGAGTTCTACCAGCGCCTGTCCACCGAGACGCTCTTCTTCATCTTCTACTATCTGGAGGTACAGCGGGCCCCGGGCAGCCCGGCCCCCGGCCTCGCCGCCACGCCGCCGTCCCCCCGCGGGCTGGAGGGGTGAGGTGGGTGCCCCTCTGCGGCCACCGGGACCGCACCCCTCCCCGCCCCCGTCCCGGGCCCCCCAAACCAAGCCTGTCCCGTCCCCGCTTCACGGGGGTCAGAACGGCCGAGGCGGAGGGCTAGGCTGCCCCCTCCCAGCGCCCGTCCCCTTAGCTGTCCCCGAGGGCAGCCTGTGTGACCCTCATCCCGCCCGCCCGCCAGGGAAGCCTGGGCCCCGCCTCTGAGCGCTCCTCCTGCTTAGCCTCTCCTCCTCCTCCACGCTTCTCCGGAAGCACTCCCACCTGCTCCTTTCCTCTGGCAGCGCTGGTGTGTTCTGTGCCCGCCCGGGTCCGTGCGGCCCCGGTCAGCCCTGATGCCCTGCCCCGCGGCCCCTCCCACCTCGGGGTCCCCTGACGCCCCTGCCCCGCCCCTCCCCCAGGGCACGAAGGCGCAGTACCTGGCGGCCAAGGCCCTGAAGAAGCAGTCGTGGCGGTTCCACACCAAGTACATGATGTGGTTCCAGCGGCACGAGGAGCCCAAGACCATCACGGACGAGTTCGAGCAGGTGAGGCCGCCCTCACCGCCCCCCGGCAGCTCGGGCACCCGGGCTGGGTCTGTATGCCATTCACACCAACTCTCAGGCGCCCTGGGTCCTGGCCTGGACGCCCCTTCCTCGGGGAGCCCCCCCAGCTACCGCCATGCCCGCCCGCCGGCCTCCCCTCCCCTCCCCAACCCCCCCATGTGCCTCGCCCTCAGCCAGCGCGAGTGGTGACCGTTATTTCCAATGGCCTGCTCCAGCTCCAGCTGGTGGGTGGGACTCACAAACACTCATGGGACTAAGCTGGCTGTGACCCCGCCTCCAGCCGGGGGCCCTGGCAAGGCACCGAAACCTGTGCCACCTCCATCTAATGCAAAAGTGGGGCGACAGGCCCCCCTTACGCAGCGGTGAGGGTTAAACGGGTCAGTCATGTGTGTACATGACAGTGCCCGCCACGGCGTGTCCTGGACACGTGCACCTGTCCCAGCCTGCTTTTCCTCGGTGCCGGACGCAAGGACCGAACAGGTCGTGTCCTCAGAGGGCTCAGCCGCTCCCCTCATTCCTGCAGGTTCTCTGAAGCGTTTCAGCCGCTCAGAGCGCAGCCCCCTCCCCCTGTGCCTTCTCTGACACCCGACCTGTCCCCTCCTGGCTGGGTGCAAAGGAACCCGCCCAGTTAGTCTGTTCCCAGGATTCACTCCTCCAGAGGCCCGCCCCCGGGCTCCAGCAGCCCGTTCCCTCTTAGCCGGCGTTGGCCTGGCGGAGGAGGCAGTGCTAGGCACACCGCCCCGGGCACCTGAGCGGGCTCAGAAGCCACCGCCACCCTGAGGGGCAACGGGATTTTGCAAACGTGCGGGGCCCCAGCCCTGCTCTGACGCGACCTCTGCGCCTCCCTCTGCTTCCCCTGAAGCGGAAGGGGCTGTGGTGGGGCCGGGTCAGCCCCGATGCCCTGCCCGTCCCCGTTCCTACCGGAGCCGCCGGGGCGGGCCGAGCCGGCGCGGTCCCCGCCGAGGAGAGCGGTCCCCTGGGTCCGCTCGGCCCTCACTGCCGCCTCCCCGGCCAGGGCACCTACATCTACTTCGACTACGAGAAGTGGGGCCAGCGGAAGAAGGAAGGCTTCACCTTCGAGTACCGTTACCTGGAGGACCGGGACCTCCAGTGACAGCGGCCCCGCCCCCCCGCATGCTGACCCCTGCCCAGCCGGGGCGGCCCCAGGCCGCGGGCAGCCCCTCCCCCGGGAGGCCGGGGTGTCCTCTTCCTCCGCCCGCCGGGCCCGGGGCGAGGGCTGCCCCTCCTCCCCTCCCCAGCGAGGGACATTTTTTGGTAAACCTATTTTCATTTTGGAAAATATTTATGAATAAATAGTTTTATATGACGCTGGCGGCAGCAGCCTCTCCGGTTCCCCCAGCGTCAGGGCGGGGGAGGGGGCTCCTGCCGGCGGGGCCGCCGGGCCAGCTGCGGGTTGAACTGGGAGTTGTACCGCCGCCGCCGATCGTCCGCCTCCTCCGGCTGCTCCTCCTCGGACTGCGCCCCTCCTCGGACCCGGGCCAGCAGGGCCTCCGCGCGGGCCCTCTCGGCGGCTTCTCGCCGGAGGCGTTCGGCTCGCAGCTGGTCCAGCGATGGGGACCTGGGGGAAGGAGGATCGGCTAGGAAGCTTCCCCAAGAGGGAGCGGCCGCCCGGATGGACCCTCTGCCTGCGCCCAACGTGCTCCTGGCCTTGGCTCCCCTGGCCCGGGGCCAGGATGGGGCCTCTGTCCTCCTCCCCGGTCTTAATGAAGTGCCCCTGCCCCTTCGGGTCACAGCACACACCCAGGCCTCAGCCTCAGTTTCCCCTCCTGTGCCCGGTCTGCCATCCTAGCATCAGGCCTGCTTCTGCTCTTAACGCTGCGGCTCTCAAAGCTCCAGGACCCCACGGGGCGCCTGTGTCCGGGGCCGCATGTGAACATCCAGCACGTCAGAGCCTCTGAAAAACGTCTTGGACACGAGCCTGCATCCACCAGCCCTCAGAGCAGTGGGCCCTCGCGCGCCACGCGGCCCCCGGAAACCACTACGAAGCGAGGAGCCAGATGGTGCTGAAGGGCTGTTACCCCCGGGGTCGCTGAGAGCGAGCCAGCCTGCCTGAGCCCCTGGCTCCCCGCGGCCCCTCCTTACGCTTTGGGCTGCCGCTGCTCGGGCGCCGCTTCCTTCCTGGCTTCCTTCCTGCTGCGGCTGCCCTGGTCCCCGTGCTCCCCGCTGAGCCGCCGCCTCTTCCCCAGGTGCTTCTGCATCTCCAGCAGGGGGTCCAGGCGGCTCTTGACCTTCACGTCCGGGCCTGGGCCGGGCGGGGGCGCCCCTCGCGCCGGGGGCAGCTGGTACCAGGGCGGCTGAGTCTGGGCTTCGGCGGCACTCTGGCCCAGGTACGTCAGGATGCCCAGAGCCTTCTCCTGCTTCTCCTGAGGGGGCGGGAGACCCGAGGATGGTCAGGTGTCTGCCCGCAGGGGCCCTGGGTGTGCTAACGGACACACACACACACCCATGGCTGGACGGCAGAACCAGTCACTCAGCTAAGTGTTGAGGCCTCATGAGCCAGCGCGGCCACGGGCTGCAGACAGGAGAGCAGCACAGGTGGGGGTCTGCACAGGGGTGGGGGGGACAGTGGAGGCTCTAACAAGGCACAGGGAGGGCAAGCTCATCCCTGAGGCGGGTGAGTGACAGGGTCCGACTTCATTTGACAAAGCTCGGCTCCCTTCCCGAGTCCTGAGGGGTCTGTCCCTGCAGCCTCAGGCCTGGGGTGAGGGGGGTGGGGAGTGTCCAGCTCCCAAGCCTCCTGGGCCTGGAGGGCTGTGACCGGAACTCCCTGCGAGCCCGTCGGTCCGTTCTGAGCCTCCATCAGCTCCCTTGGTCCCACCTGCCCTCGGTGCCCCCTCCCCCAGCCCCATGCCCCACGGGAATGAGGGGGGCCGGCTTACTTTCTCCTGTCGCTTTTCCTCCTCGTACTCCTTGTTGCCTCTGGTCACCCCTTTGCCCTCCTCCAGCAGCTCCCGGAACAGGTCCACAGGCCCCGAGCTCGGGGCGCCTGCATCTGCTGCCTCGAGCTCGGGAAGTGAGTTCCGGTGCCGGGCCTTCTTCCGCAGGAATTCTGTGCGGGCCTGGGGGGGGGGGGGCGGGAGAAGAAAAGGAAGTTACAGGCGGAGCATTCAGAACCAAGATGGGATCTGAGGAACCGCAGTGTGGCGCGGCCAGAGAGCTGTGCTGGGGGCCCAGGAGGCACCTGCCGGAAGCCGCCTTTATGCCAGAGGGATCCCCAGTCTGTGACACAGCAGAGAACCATGGAGGCAACCAACACATTCGGACAGGCGATCTGAGTTCCAGGCGGGGCTCCAATCACTACCCAAGTCGAACTTTTTTTATTTTTTTTTAATATATTTTATTGATTTTGCACAGAGAGGAAGGGAGAGAGAGAGTTAGAAACATCGATAAGAGAGAGTCATCGATCAGCTGCCTCTTGCACACCCCCTATTGGGGATATGCCCGCAACCAAGGTACATGCCCTCGACCGGAATCGAACCCGGGACCCTTTAGTCCCCAAGCCGATGCTCTATCTATCCATTGAGCCAAACCGGTCTTGGCCAAAGTCGAACTTTTAATTTTTTTTTATTTTATTGATTTTTTACAGAGAGGAAGGGAGAGGGACAGAGAGCTAGAAACGTCGATGAGAGAGTAACATCGACCAGCTGCCTCTTGCACACCCCCTACCGGGGATGTGCCCGCAACCAAGGTACATGCCCTTGACCGGAATCGAACCTGGGACCCTTGAGTCCGCAGACCGACGCTCTACCGCTGAGCCAAACCGGTTTCGGCAGAACTTTTAATTTTTTTAACAGAGAAAGGGAAAGGGAGAGAGACATTGATTTTCAAAATATACTTTTTTATTTCAGGGAAGAAGGGAGAGGGAGAGAAACATCGTTGATCAACTGTCTCCGCCATGCCCCACACTGGGGATCGGGTGGGAAACCTGGGCATGTGCCCTTGACTGGAATCAAACCCGGGACCCTTCAGTCTGCAGGCTGATGCTCTATCCACTGAGCCAAGCCAGCCAGGGCAGGATGTGACGGTCTGTTGTCCCACTTACCTATGCATTTGTTGGCTATTACTTGTGCCCTGATTAGGGATTGGACCCACAACCTGGGCTGCCTGGCCAGCTCCCAGTCCGTTTCCGATCTACTGAAACGTGAATTTTAAAAGCCCAGGCTGACTCCCGGCCAGTACTGAGGCCCAGGTCAGCTGGGACTGGCCAGCAGGTGTGAGCCAAACAGGTGAAGGAGCCACAGAGAGGCGTCTGATGGGGGGTGAGAGGGAGGGGGGTGTGTGGACAGGGCGGTGCAAAGGCTCCCCCTCGGAGACGCCTCGGCTTGCGCCCCGCCTCCCCGGCGCGGGGTCCTCTCCCCCTGCTCCGGGGGGCTGGCTGGCAGCGCCCCTCCAACAACCGCCCCACCAAGCCGGAGGGATGTCTGCGCGGGACGAGCATCCAGTGGGCGCTCAATAAACGCACAAGCGAACTGAAACGTGGCCCGGGGTCCCTTTATTCACACGCGCCTGCTGTGGCCCAGGCAGCGCTCCGGGAAGAAGAGCGGAGGAAACCAGGCGGAGGGAGTGTCCGCGGGTCCCAGCGCGCGGGGAGCCCGACTCCGCGCGGGACCCATTGCCCCTGCGCGCCGCCTCCACTTCCGGCCCGCACCGCGGCGCCTGCGCGCTGGGCCAGCAGCCCCGCCCGCCGCCCTCGGAGCCTACCTCTTGCTGGGCGAGCAGCGCCCTCCGTTCCCGCTCTTTCTCCTCCTCCCGGGCCTGGGCCTCATCCCGCCGCACGCGGGCGACATTGTCCTTGTTCCGGACGTGCCAGCTCTTCTTGGGCAAGATGTTCATGGCGCCGTGACGTCCCCGGACTGACAGGCCCGCCTCCTAGCACTTCCGAAAGGCGAGAGGATGCCCCGCCCTCGTATACCTGTCCCAGCCGCGGATTGGGTCCCGGATTGACTGACACGCCCCTGCCTCCCAACGCCTCGAATCTCGCGTGCTGTCGCCTAGCGACCGCCTCGCGTCGACGTTCTCAGCCAATCACGGTGTCTCTACTTCTGACGCTACACGGACGCGGCCGCTGATTGGCCGGCACGCCCGCCACGTCGTCCCAGGGCCCACACATGTGATTGGCTTGTGCCGCGGAAGCCTCGCCCCCCTGCTTCCGCTCGCCAGTTTCAAAGCGCGCTCAGCTGACTCCGCTGTGTTTATTGATTCAGGAATGAGGTTCCCCTGACAGTCAGCGGGGTGCGGGGCCCCGGAAATCTCGGAATCGCGGGGCTGGGAGGAAGGACAGTCTTCTCCAGGCTCTCATGTGGCAGATGGCGCGGCCGAGGCTTACAAAGGTTTGGGGGTGCAGGTCTGGGTCTGAAAGCGGGACGCCACCCGGAGCCCGGCGAGGGAGGTCACAGGGCCCCCGGGTCCGAGCTCAGCGCCACGGCGCGCTGGGCCAGGAAGACTTTATTCTGCGTCTCCTGAGATGAAGGGCGAAGAGAGGGAAGAGGTGAGACGGAGCCTCTCCCCCGTGTCCTCCTGTACGTTCCCCGGGGCCCCTTTTCCCAGGCGCCCGGCCTGGCTCACCTTCTCTATCTGCCGTTTGAGCTCCGAAATGAGGCATCCGTACGAGTTAGCCAGGGCCAGGGTATACGCCATCAGGATGCTGGAGGGGACAAGACAATAAATAAAAAAAGACGAAAAAAAAAAAAGAAAAAGAAATAGAGGGGACAAGAATAAAAGCCATCCCCTGAAGCCTCGCGGGAGAGCTTCAATGTCTGGGTCCTTAGAGACCAGCGGCCTGGATCCTCTCCCCCTCCTTCCTTCAGACCCGGGAGTTGGTGGCTCCATCCCCTCCCTCCCTCCCTCATTCAAGGATTTAGGCGCCCCCAGCCCTCTCTTCCCTGGGGCGCAGGCGGCGGGGCGCCCAGATGGCACACATTCCAACTGAAACCCAGGAGCCGGGGCCCCTCACCTGGAGACCAGCAGGAGGGGCACAGCAAAAGCCTGGGACCCCAGGAAGAAGAGGAAGTCCTGGGTGCCCTGAGGGAGCCTGCCAATAGACTCGGGGATCTGGTTCCAGATGAACTCCTGCTCCCGGAACGGACCACACAGCTGCGAGGGCCGGATCCTGAAGCCAGGGAGACGGGACGAGAGTTGAAGGAGGGCCGAGAAGTCGGGATCCCGGGCGAGGGCCGCTCGCACTTACAGGAAGATGCTGAACAGCACCGGGATGGCGGAGACGGCCAGCCCCAGGAGGAGCACCATGGGGAAAAAGAAGTTCGCCGTGGAGGCCCGGAAGGTGCGGGAGGCCGGCGAGCAGTTGGAGAAGAGGGTGAGCTGACAGGGGAAGAAGGGAGACTGAGGCACGGGTGTCTGAACTCTAGTCTGTCTCTTTCCCAGGAGTCCTGGTGCCTGGCTCTCCTCACTCAGGACCCAAGAGACGGTCCCCTCTTAGACCTAAAAGTTGGGGTGCCCTAGGCCCCTCCTCCTCCTCCTCCCACATCCGGGAATCAGCCCGGCAGACAGACCCCCCTCCTCTCTCAGGATCCAGACGTCTGGGACCTGAGCATCCTCCTCCCTTAGGACCCGACCGCACCCCTCCCTCCGTCCCTTCCCGCCCTGGACATCTCCCACTCCAGGCGGGCGCCCCCCCACCCACGCCCCACCTTTTTCAGGTAGAAGAGCAGCAGGAACTTGGCTGAGTTGAGCAGGGGCAGGAGCGGGCAGAAAAAACTGCCCATCCAGACCACCGTCTGCGCGTAGATGAGCCCCAGCACCTCGTCGGGCACCTGGAATTCCTGGGTCCCCAAGCGCCCCAGCAACCCGGGACGGAGACCGCAGAGCAGCCTGCGGGGCGGGGCGGGGCGGGGTCAGGGGCGTGCCAGCCAGGGGTTTTCCCGCCTCCTCCGTTATGCCCACCAATCAGAAGTGAGCCTGTCTGAGGGGCGGGGCTGCCAAGGTCCTGGAGGGGGTGCGTCCAGGGGGCGTGGCCAATTGGGGAGTAACTGACGCGTGGGAGGGGCGGGGTCTTTGGAGTCAGAGCAAAGAGGGAGCAGTGGGAGGCGGGACTAGGAAAAGGGCGTGGCGAGGAGGGAGAACCCAGAGGCGGGGCCAGAGGGGGGGCGGGGGGGGGTCTCACTTCCGAGGGAACTGGATGAGGAGCATGACGGCCAGGCCAATCAGCAGATCAAAAAGCAGGAGTTTGTACATCTCCTGCCCCATCCGGGTCTCCCAGCACTAGAGGAAGGAAAAAAAAGGGGTGAGGGCGACATCAGGACCGACCCAGGCGCCCAAGCACCCGAGTCCCTCATTAACAAGCGTAGCCCTGACCGGTGTCGCTCAGTGGGTAGAGTGTGGGCCTGCGGACTGAAGGGTCCCGGGTTCGATTCCGGTCAAGGGCATGTGCCTTGGTTGCAGGCAGATCCCCAGTGGGGGGTGTGCAGGAGGCAGCTGATGGATGTTTCTCTCTCATCGATGTTTCTGACTCTTTGTCCCTCTCCTTCCCTCCCTGTAAAAAAATCAATAAAAAATATATTTAGCCAAGACCGATTTGACTCAGTGGATAGAGCGTCAGCCTGAGGACTGAAAGGTCCCAGGTTCGATTCCGGTCAAGGGCATGTACCTTGGTTGCGGACACATTCCCGGTGGGGGGGTGTGCAGGAGGCAGCTGGTCAATGATTCTCCCTCATCAATGTTTCTAGCTCTCCATCCCTCTCCCTTCCTCTCTGTAAAAAGTCAATAAAATATATATTAATATATATATTTAAACAAAAATCAGGCGTTTGAGATACTTTCTCTGGGGTCTTCTGTTTTGGGGGGGGGCACCACACATACCCCACTCCTCAGACTGGAGGGTGTCCTAGCACCCCCAGCTCCTCCTCCTTCCCAAACCAGGAGTCCCAGCCCCTCGTCCTCCTCACCGGATACTCCTTGTAATTGTAGCCGCAGGCCTTGCAGTTCTTGTCCTCTGTGTTGCCCCCACACATGACCTTATTCCGGAGAGAGACCATTGCGACCAGCAGGGAGGCCAGGCGCAGAAACACGGTCCTGGCAACGCGAGAGGGAGGGGTTAACCTCGAGCCCCTCCTGCCCGGAAAGGAATGGGCTCCCCATTTCACAGATGGAGAAACGGAGGCTGGGGACAAGGAGCCAGGGTCGATCCCATCCATGGCGCCTGGACTTACGCACGCACGCACGCACGCACGCACGCACACACACAGCCGCCCCACAGGCGGCCACCTGAGGAGGATGAGGACGATCTGGCGGCTTCGGGTGTAGCCCTCGAGCGAGGTGATGAGCTTGAACAGGGGCGGCAGCACCAGGTTGACCCCCGAGATGAAGACGGATGTGATGTAATTCACCCCGAGCGCCAGCAGCGGCGTCCCTTTGACAAGATCCAGCTTCTGGGAGGGGGACGGAGCCACGGGGAGAGGCGGGGTCCCAGAGGAGCCACGCTGGAGGGGGCTCCCCGGCCTCTTCCTCCCGCACCCCGAAGCCTGAGCGCCACACCTAACGGGCCACGCTCCTCTCTGTCCAAGACCCCAGGCATCCCAGGCCTGAGTCCCCTCCGTCCTTGGTGGGTTCCAGGACTCCCACCCTCCTCCCCAGGCCCCCGCGCACCCTCAGCTCGGAGGGATACCCTCCCCAGAACCCCGCGCACCTCCAGCTCGGAGGGGTACCCTCCCCAGGCCCCCGCGCACCCTCAGCTCCGAGGGGTACCCTCCCCAGGCCCCCGCGCACCTTCAGCTCGGAGGAGTAGCCTGTCGCCCAGAAGATGCCGTAGAAGGCCGCGCCCAGGAGCGCCAACACCAGCAGGTTGAGCAGCAGCCGCAGCGCCCACACCCTGGCCTGCTGGCCCAGCGTCCGCCCCGCGGCCCGAAGCCGCACCTGCGCCTCCTCCAGCTCCACCTGCTCCGGGAGAGAGTCCCCTGGGTGCCGGCTCCCCTGCCTGGCCCCCGGCCCCGCCGCCCACAGTCCGGCCCCGCTGTAACACCCTGCCGAATGTGAGAGAGACACGTCGCTTGGTTGCCTCCCACATGCACCCTGACTGGGCTCGGGATCAACCTGCATTCTCTGTCATCTTTTTTTATTTTTAAAAAAATATATTTTAGCCCTGGCCGGTTTTGCTCAGTGGATAGAGCGTCGGCCTTTGGACTCAGTGGTCCCAGGTTCAATTCCAGTCGGGGGCATGTGCCTTGGTTGCGGGCGCATCCCCAGCTGATCGGTGTTTCTCTCTCATCGATGTTTCTAACTCTCTATCCCTCTCCCTTTCTCTCTGTAATCAACAGCATATATTTTTAAAAAGAAAAAAAAAAAAAAAAGAAAATCATTGATCAGCTGCCTCCTGCACGCCCCACCCTGAGGATGGAGCCCACAACCCAGACATGTGCCCTGACTGGGAATGGAACCTTGACCTCCGGGTTCATAGGTCAGTGCTCAACCCCCTGATCCACACCTGCCTGGCTCCAGGTGACAATTTAACCTCCTGGCCCCGCCCCCGAGGCCACACCCAGTGCTCGCCCCGGTGCAAGTTCCAGCTCCACCTCATCACCCATCCCTGGCCGCACCCTCTCAGCCGGGAACCCAGCACCCTTGCGCCCGCCTCTCCCCTAAAGCGAGCGTCCCCCCGCTCCCCATCCTTTGACCTCGGGCCGCACCTCGGGCCTCCTCAGATGCCATTCATCCCCCAAGGCCCGCCCCCTTAGGAGGAAGCTCCACTCAGCATCTCCGGAAAGTCCCCTGGCCCCGCCCCTCGGGAGGTGGCCCCGCCCCCGCGCACCTGCAGCTCGTAGCGGAGGCGGCGCCTGCGCAGCTGCACGTGGACCTCGCCGCGGAGGCCGAAGTCCCAGGCGGAGAAGACGCGGTGGCTGTAGCTGGTCAGCACCCCGGACTCGGCCAGCAGCGTCTGCTTCAGCCCGGACACCGAGCTGGGGGGCGGGAGGCGGGTCAGGGCCGTCCGAGCAGGGGCGGGAGATGGGGGTGGACAACGGGGGGGGGGACGGGGAAAGCACACCCTAAGCCCGGGCCCTGGGCGAGCTGCCCCCTGGTGGGGCAGGAGGGGAAGCCACCGACCCCAGGGAGAGATCCCGAGGTCACACACCCACCGGGGACCCCGGGGCCTGGGAGACAGGGAGCCTGGGAGGCGGACGTAGAGATGGGGACTGAGACCCCCAAAGGGTCAGAGATTCACATAAAAGGACTCAATGAGTCCCTGCCGGTGTGGCCCCAGGGGTTGAGCATCGACCTATGAACCAGGAGGTCACGGTTCGATTCCCGGTCAGGGCACCTGCCCGGGTTGCAAGCTCGATCCTCAGTGGGGAGGGGCGTGCAGGAGGCAGCTGATCCACGATTCTCTCTCACCGTGGATGTTTCTCTCTCTCCTTCTCCCCGCCTCTCTGAAATATATATCATTGATTTCAGAGAGGAAGGAAGAGGGAGAGAGAGTGAAAGAGAGAAACATCCACGATGAGAGAGAATCATGGATCTCAGCTCAAACAGAGAGAAGGGGATCCCAGAGCCAGACTCAGGAGTCCTGGGGCGGGGCGCGGGGCCTGGGTGGGGTGCACTCACCGGCGCAGGATCAGCAGCAGCGACAGGAGGCCGATGGCGAAGGTGGAGCAGAGGTAGGTGATGGCCAGGGTCCGGCGGGGCGGGTAGAACCCGTAAAAGAGCGGGGACCACTCCAGGAAGCCCTGGGGGGAGGGCGCAGCGGGTCACCGTGGCGCCGGAGGGGGCCGGCCGGAGCGGGGCCTCCAGCCGGCGGCACTCACCTCCCCGGAGAGCAGGTGGAAGAGCTGGGTGGAGAAGGACACCAGGCCCTGGGGGTGAGGGTTGTAGGAGCCGCAGGAAGAGTTGTGGTCAGGGCCAGGGGGGTCCTCGGGGCCGCCGTCCAGCCAGGTGGGCAGCAGCGTCATGCAGACCTTCAGCACCGAGGCCAGCACGTTCAGAAACAGCAGGAAGCGCAGCAGCAGGAAGTAGGACTCCGTGCCCGCGCCAAACTGGCCTGCAGGGGGCGGCAGGCAGGACTGGGGCCTCGCTGAGTCCAGGGATCCCTGCCCCTCCCTCAGACCCCGGAGCCCAGGCCCCCAGCCCCTCCTCCCTCAGACCCAGGAGCCCAGGAGTCCAGGCCCCCAGCCCTCCTCACTCAGACCCAGGAGCCCAGGCCCCCAGCCTCCTCCCTTAGACCCAGGAGCCCAGGCCCCCACCCCCTCCTCAGACCCAGGAGCCCTGGCCCCTAGCCCCTCCTCCCTCAGACCCTGGAGCCCAGGCCCCAGTCCTCCTCCCTCAGACCCAGGAGCCAGGCCCCCAGCCCTCCTCCCTCAGACTCTAGAGCCCAGCCCCATCGCACCCCCGATCCTCTTCAGCGTCCACCCCCAGGGCTCCAGGGTGTGCCAGCCTTCTCGCATCTTCTCCTTGGACCTCCGAAGCAGCAGGGCCCAGCTGGCCATCCTGGACCCGGAGCCCAGAGCCATTTGGTCCCTGGCGTGGCGCTGCCTGGAAGGAAACAGTCAGAGACAGGAAGGGAAAGGGCCGGGCTGCCCCGGATGGAGACCACTGTGGTGGGCTCCTAGCACAGGCCCTACAGCAATGAGAGGAAACACGTGACACTGGGCACAGGCAGAACCCCAAGACTGCGGGCCTCTGATTACACAGTCCCAGAGCAAGCGGGTGGGGGCCCCTGCCCTTCAGGGAAGCAGACCCCGCGGCCAGCTCTGCGGAAGCGACAGGAGCGGTCACGTGTGCGTGCGAAAGGCAGAAGGCATTCTACTGGAGAGAGGGGACAGGGGAGGAGGATTGGGGTGCTTCAGGGGGCTGCAATGCCTCTCCCCACGGGCGGGGTTCACCAGGGCTCTCACTATAGGAAAACTCTCAGAGTCTGTCCATCGTGCTTCCTGCAGGCAAACATCATCATACAGTAAACATGCCAAAAAAAAAAAAAAAAAAAAAGGAACAGAGAATGCCCTGTCCGGTGTGGCTGAGTTGGTTGGGCAGCGATCCGTGCACCAAAAGGCCAAAAGACTGCCCGTTCGACTCCTGGTCAGGGCACACGCCCGGGTTTTGGCCTAGATCCCCAATAAGGGCTGTGCAGGAGGCAGGCAATCTGTCTCTCCATCTCGCATCGACGTTTCTCTCTCTCTCCCTCTCCCTTCCTCTCTCTCTAAAAATCAACTTAAAAAAGAAACAGCCCAAACCAGTTAGCTGGATGGATAGTGTCAGCCTGCGGACTGAGGGAATCCCAGGTTGGATTCTGGTCAAGGGCATGTACCTTGGTTACGGGCACATCTCCAGTGGGGAGTATGCAGGAGGCAGCTGGTCGATGTTACTCTCTCATCAATGTTTCTAGCGCTCTCCCCCTCTCCCTTCCTCTCTGTAAAAAAATCAATAAAACATATTTGATGCCGAAACCGGTTTGGCTCAGTGGATAGAGCGTCGGCCTGCGGACTGAAAGGTCCCGGGTTCGATTCCGGTCAAGGGCATGTACCTTGGTTGCGGGCACATTCCCGGTAGGGGGTGTGCAAGAGGCAGCTGGTCGATGATTCTCTCTCATCGATGTTTCTAACTCTCTGCCCCTCTCTCTTCCTCTCTGTAAGAAATCAATAAGATATATTTAAAAAAAAAACATATTTGAAAAAAAAGAATTATTGAAAGGGGCAGCTTCATGAGCCACCTGGGCCTCATTTGTGGGTGAACCCCCCCCCCCCCAATGTGTTTCTAATGCTTTTTTATTGCGGACTTGACACTTTTCACCGGGGCCTGCAGCGTCCCCAGAGGAGGGAGGGAGACGGGATTGGGAGAGGAGGACTGAAGCAGAGGAGACACTAACCGTGGATTTCAGACCCGGAGAGAAAGTGAGGGGCGGAGAGAGGCTCGGAGGGAAAGAGGCCGGTGAGATTGGGACCCGGGAGGGAAGGACTGAGTGCAGAGCCGCAGAGACAGGGAGCCTGGCGGCCTGAGAAGCGGACACACAGGCGGGGAAGAGGGAGCCAGATGGGCAGCTTTGAGAGGCAGGAGAGACGGAGACCCGGCCTCACCTGTGCGCCCGCCGGGCCTGCATGGGCCAGGGCAGCTCCCGGGAAGGGACGGGGTCCTGCAGCTCCTGGGCGGCTTCTGCGAAGGCCTGGACGCTCCTCTCTCCATCCTCCCCCTCCCCCTCCAGCGCCCCCCAGGGCAGCTCCCTGGGGCCGCGGTGCCGGAGGGCAGCAGCGCTGGGCAGCGCGTTCAGCACCGAGGACAGCGTCGGGCCTGGGCAAGAGGGCAGGCGCCAGGAGAACCCAGGGGTCCAAGCCCACAGTCCCCGCCCCCAGCCCTCCTCCCTCAGACCCAGGAGCCCAGGCCCCAGCCCTCCTCCCTCAGACCCAGGAGCCCAGGCCCTCCTCCTTCTGACCCAAGAGTCCCCGTCCCCAGCCCTCCTCCCTCAGACCCAGGAGCCCAGCCCCCCTCCCTCAGACCCAGGAGCCCAGGCCCCCAGCCTCCTCCCTCAGACCCAGGAGCCCAGGCCCCAGCCCTCCTCCCTCAGACCCAGGAGCCCAGGCCCCCAGCCTCCTCCCTCAGACCCAGGAGTCCCCGCCCCCAGCCCTCCTCCCTCAGACCCAGGAGTCCCCGCCCCCAGCCCTCCTCCCTCAGACCCAGGAGCCCAGCACCTCCTCCCTCAGACCCAGGAGCCCAGCCCCTCCTCCCTCAGACCCAGGAGCCCAGCCCCTCCTCCCTCAGACCCAGGAGCCTAGCACCTCCTCCCTCAGACCCAGGAGCCCAGGCCCCAGCCTCCTCCCTCAGACCCAGGAGCCCAGGCCCCAGCCCTCCTCCCTCAGACCCAGGAGTCCCTGCACTTAGCCCCTCCTCCTTCTGACCCAGGAGTCCCGGCCCCCACCCACTCCTCCCTCAGACCCAGGAGCCCAGGCCCCCAGCCCTCCTCCCTCAGACCCAGGAGCCCAGGCCCCCAGCCTCCTCCTCCCTCAGACCCAGGAGCCCAGGCCCCCAGCCCTCCTCCCTCAGACCCAGGAGTCCATGCCCCCAGCCCTCCTCCTTCAGACACAAAAGCCCAGGCCCCAACCCTCCTTCCTCAGACCCAGGAGCCCAGGCCCCCAGCCCTCCTCCCTCAGACGCAGGAGCCCAGGCCCCCAGCCCTCCTCCCTCAGACCCAGGAGTCCAGATCCCCAGCCCCTCCTCCCTCAGACCCAGGAGTCCCCGCCCCCAGCCCTCCTCCCTCAGACCCAGGAGCCCAGCCCCTCCTCCCTCAGACCCAGGAGCGCAGCACCTCCTCCCTCAGACCCAGGAGCCCAGGCCCCAGCCCTCCTCCCTCAGACCCAGGAGTCCCCGCACTTAGCCCCTCCTCCTTCTGACCCAGGAGTCCCGGCCCCACCCACTCCTCCCTCAGACCCAGGAGCCCAGGCCCCAGCCCTCCTCCCTCAGACCTAGGAGCCCAGGCCCCCAGCCCCCCTCCCTCAGACCCAGGAGCCCAGCCCCTCCTCCTTCTGACCCAGGAGTCCCCGCCCCCAGCCCTCCTCCCTCAGACTCAGGAGGCCCCCAGCCCTCCTCCCTCAGACCCAGGAGCCTAGGCCCCAGCCTCCTTCCTCAGACCCAGGAGCCCAGGCCCTCAGCCCTCCTCCCTCAGACCCAGGAGCCCAGGCCCCCAGCCTCCTCCTCCCTCAGAACCAGGAGCCCAGGCCCCCAGCCCTCCTCCCTCAGACCCAGGAGTCCATGCCCCCAGCCCTCCTCCTTCAGACACAAAAGCCCAGGCCCCCAACCCTCCTCCCTCAGACCCAGGAGCCCAGGCCCCCAGCCCCTCCTCCCTCAGACCCAGTGCCCATCCTTCAGGCTTCTCCTACTCCGGGACCCAGGAGTTCACTCTAGCACTTGCTTTTCCCCTTTAATGAATATTTGGGCCCCTGGCCCCTCCCACGCTTCAGATATTTGAGTCCCGGCCGGCCGTTATTCTGGACTCTGCCTCCGCAGGGCCCGGACTCCCTTCTCCCCAGAGCCCTGGAAAGGAACGGAAGCCGCTCCCACTCCTGCCCTCCGGACCCAGGCGCCCCGGTCCCGGCAGGGACTCCCGTCTCCCCCTCTGCCCGCGCGGCCCACCTGCCCTGGCCTCCCGGGGCGCCGGCCACCTCCCGGAGGGGCCCCAGGCCTCGGGCTCCCTGGCCCAGCTCTCCTCCATGGCCCCGAGCGGTGGCTTCCGCCTCCGGCGACCAGCGGGGAGGCACCGCCCGAGACAGGGGGCGGGGAGGGCGGGGCGGGCAGGTGCGCTGGGGCCGCAGGTGCCCAGGTGCCCAGAGGGCGGAGCGGCCCTCCTGACCCGCCCGCGCTGCCCGGGGTGAGCCGGGATCTGCAGTCCGCGGGCGGCGGCGCGGTCCAGGGAACTGGGGGGCGGGCGGGGCTCGGTGCCCACGTCCCCCACGTGCGGGGTCGCCCAGACACGCCACGCAGTCCGTGTGCAACTCTTTATTGGGAGGGAACCGGCCTCAGGCTGCAGGAGGCGGCACCCCAGGGCTCAGGCCCGCGCCCCGCGCCTCAGTTTCCCCCCTCGTTCCCTCCCGGGCGCGATGACACGGGTGCGATGACATAAAAGTGGAACGGAAGCCACGAGAAGCGGCGCCCCGCGCCCCGAGGGCCTTGCCGCCGGGGAGCCCGGGACCCGGGAGGCTTGGCAGGACCGTGGCGTCGGTCTGGGCAGCGCCCTGGGGCCCAGGGGGTTGGGCAGGGCGAGGCGAGGGCTACGCGGAGCGGGATCCTCTCCAGGCCCCGAGGGAGGAGCCGGCTGCCTGGGTCACGGAATCCGGGGCAGAAGCGTGGCGGCGGGACCGGGCGGCGGCGGTGCGTGGGCAGCTCACTCCTCCCGCAGCTTCTCGGGGGCGAGGCCGGCGGCCTGGGGCTCTGCCTTCCGCCGGCCGGGGCCGCCCGCCCCCAGGGCCAGCCCCAGGCCCAGCGCGGCCAGCGCCAGCACGTGGATGCAGAAGTAGACGGAGGCCCAGTAGCGCAGGGTGTCGCCCAGGGAGAGCAGCACGAAGCCCATGCACATGTAGTCGTAGGCGCGCATCTTGAGGAACCAGTGCGCCCAGTCCCAGGCCTGCTGGCCGCCCGGGCCCAGCCGCCAGCGCAGCGCCGCCTCCAGCCGGCCCTCGGCCGCCAGGCACAGCGGGATGGTCAGGAAGCTCAGGTAGTAGCCGGGGTGCAGGCCGTGCCAGTAGGCGCTCAGCAGCATGGTCCAGGCGCTCCTGCGGGGGTGCGGGCAGGAGGGGGAAGGAGGGTGTCAGGCCAGGCCCCAGCTCTGTCTCCCTCAGTTAACACCCCCTCCCCCCAGTACCCACTTCCTCTTTGGGGATCCTGATCTGTGATGATTCTGAAATCTCTGGCGATGAGCCCCCCCTCCTTGTGCACCCTGAATGCTGGCCTTTGTAAGCCCACATATTTGGGCTGATTCCGCTTCTATGGAGGACTCAGAAATCTCCAGTTTAGCCCCTGAGTGTGGCCTGTGGTGTGTGTGTGTGTGTGTGTGTATTCTGCCCTGCCCATAGCATCCGTGTTTCCCTCCGACACCTCCTGAAGTGTCAAAAACCACTTTATGCACCCTGACCGGTGTTTCTCAGTGGATGGAGCGTTGGCCTGCAGCCTGAAAAGTCCCAGGTTCCATTCCAATCAAGGACAGGTACCTTGGTTGGGGGCACATCCCCTGTGGGGTGTGTGCAGGAGGTAGCTGATCAATATTTCTCTCTCATCGACATTTCTAGCTATCTCTCCCCCTTCCTCTCTGTAAAAAATAAATAAAAGTAAATGGATATTTTTAAAAACTCCTCCCCTCCCTATAAGAAGGGTGGGCTTGAGCAGGAAGGGGAGATGGTCTTGGAGACGGGAGTCCACCATTCCCCCAGGCTGTGTGGCACCTGAATAACCCTCTTTCCTTCTGCACCAGCGCCTGCCTCATGAATCTGGCTTTCCAGCCAAACCGGTGTGTGCTGTTTCTGTACCACGACCACTATGGCTTCATTAGGAGAACGTTTCATTGGGCATCCTGACCTCACCTGGTGGCTCAGGAAGGCCGAGGGACACTCAGGAGACTACCTAACCAGTCTGAGCCTTACTCTCCTAAGATGGGGGATCACAATTCCGGCTTCCTAAGGTTTGAAACATAATGTATTGCACAAAGACTCCACTCAAGAAATATTGGATGAGTGAAGAAGAATAGAAACTGCCCTGACTGGTGTGGCTCAGTGGATAGAGCATCGGCCTGCGGACTCAGGGGTTCCAGGTTCGATTCCGGTCAGGGGGAATGTGCCTTAGTTGTAGGAACATCCCCAGGAGGTGGTGTGCGGGAGGCAGCTGATGTTTCTCTCTCATGGATGTATCTGGCTCTCTTTCCCTCTTCCTTCCTCTCTGTGAAAAATCAATAAAAAAAAAAAAATATATATATATATATATTTTTTTTTTTTTTAAAAAAGACTAGAAACTAAAACCTAGCTAGCACCTTCCATGCTTCACATTAACCACATTTCATACTTTATCTCCTTCAATCCTGACATCAGCCTATGAGACGGGTAGCAGTGTTACCCCCCCCCCCCCCCCCCATGTATCAGAGGAAATAACTCCCTGCTCAAGGATTCTTAGCAATTGCTGGGGCTGAGATTCTGGAAAGTTTAGCTATCGAGCTCTCTGGAGGACTCAAAGCACGGCTTCTGTCCACTGACTTCACAGAAGCAGAAACGTAGGGTCAAAGACAGGGAGTGATTCACCCTACAGTAATGCAATCCGCGGAAGCGCGCAAGGGCTTCAAGAAACTACAACTCCCTCGATCCTCGGGGCAGGCTGCCCCATGTGCTGCTGGGAGATGTAGTTCCGTCTGGTCCGGTCCGGGGCTGGCAGGCTCACCTGAGGACGTAGGAGCGGGTGGGCGCACTCTTGTAGATGTACTGCGCCAGCCACCACTGCACCGTCATGTTCCAGTACCGCATGCCCTCCCGCACCCGCGTGCAGAAGTCTGTGCGGTAGCAGTCGATGTTGCGGATGGTCTCGTAGTCGTACTCCAGGGCAGCCGCCTCCTCCGGACTGGGGGGTGGAGGGTGGGGGTGGGGGACAGACATGCAACTCAGCCAGGCCCCCTCCCGCCGCCGGTTGTTGTCCCAGCCCCATGCTAAGGAGGGGGTGGAGGGCAGGTGACAGCCCCCTGGCTGTCACAGTGGTAGGGCAACAGGGGAGAGTAGCCCGAAGGGAGCCTTTTTTGGGGAGGAAGGTGGTGGTGGGGCACACCGTTCACCGACAATTGGGTTCTCTTGGCCACAGGGCCCTGAGGAAAAGCCTCGAAGGGCTGTGGTTGCTAGGCCATCAGTCCTTAGCAACCTGACCCTTCTCTGGTCTCCGATGCCAGGGAAAGGCCATTCCTTAGCAACCAAGCTCTGTGCATTCAGAGAAGCCTCCAAGTGCTGTCCCCGCTGAGTTGTCACTGCGGTTGCTAGGGAAGTAGCATCCTTCACAACGAGGTGGCCCGTGGTTGCTAGGGAGATGCTCTAGGCCTGGATGGTCTCTGTTGCTAGGGAAAGGTCATTCTTTAGCAACAAGATCTAGGATGTTTAGACAAGGCTCCGGAAAGGACCTTAGGCTCTTGGTTCTTATGATTGTTCAGGAAGTGTCATCCCCAGCGGTATGGCGGCTCCCGGGTCACTGGTGCCAACAGGGGGCATCCCTGGCCCACCTGAATGGCTTCTGATAACGGGGGAGGAGCCAGCCCTCGGAGTGGGGTCCGCAGGGTGAGAAAAGCCTTTGGTTCCCGCCTGGCATTTTCCGGGGGAGCCCTCTCCCGCCCCTGGAGGTCCACCATGGTCAGAGGGCAGTGGAAATAAACTCCCATGGGGGGCCCCTCTCCACAATGGAGTGGCGGTTCGTGTCCGCTAGGGCATGGCCCCGCCCTACCAAGGAATACTCATCATTTACACCGCGGAGGGGCTGCTCCCCGGTCACCGCGGAGGGTGACTGTGGTTGCTAGAAACAGAGAAGGTCCGGTCCTGGTTGCTAGGGGCACCGTTTCCCTAGCAACACAGGAGCAACACTTCCTTAGCAACAAGAGGGCCCATAGTTACCAGCAGTGAGACTTACCTAGCAGTGAAGGAGCTGGGGGTGTAGCACTGTTAGCAACAACGTCAACCTGTCAATCCACTGTTACCAAGGGAACTGGCTTCCTTAGCAACATAGGAAGGCGACCTGCGGTTGCTAGGGATGGTGTCCCCTCCGCTAGAGGGCAGCCCGGTCAGGGACGCCATTTCCTTAGAAACAGGGGCAATTGCAGGCTGCGTGATAACATCCCTTGGGGAGGGGGGAAGTGGGGGAAAAGGAAAATGCTGCCTCCTAGCAACAAAGGGGCAATTTGGTGCCATTTTTATAGCAACGAAGAGCAACCCTTCTGGTTGCTAAGGACCACGGTTGCTAAGGAACCGTTTCCCTAGCAACAAAGGTCAACCCATCACCGCCTAAGAATGGCATCCTGAACAACCAGGAACAATCGTGTTATTGGAGTGACACTTCCATGGCAACCGAGGGGCTACACATGGTTGCTAGGATACTACCTTTCTTTCCGCTAGCAACAGAGAGCAACTGGCCATCCCAAGGGGTGACAGGGACAATCCGGAGGTGTCAGAAAGGCTGCTCCCTAGGGCGGGGCAGGGTGCACTGTGGGTGGCCCAGGGGCGACACTGTGACAGCAACAGGTGGTGGACCTGGCCCCACTGATTCCCACTCCCCTCCCTGCTAGGGGCAGGGCCAGCCCGTGGTGATGGGGCCTGCCAGGTCTCGGGTCACCTCCCTCCCGCCGCCTGACCTGCTGGGGGGTGGGCACGGGAGGGTGGGGCCGCCCCCAGCCCGGGCTTTGGCGGCCGCGGGGTAGGCCCCGAAGCCGGCGGCAATGCAGCCGCACTCGGCGGCGATCCAGGCCACGTAGAAGCGCATGCGGAAGGCGAAGAAGACGGGGACCATGTAGAAGAGGCGGGCGGGCAGCGGGCGCGCGTAGAAGGCGTCCTCGCGCACGGCCTCCAGCGGGAAGAGGTGCGAGGACAGCAGGAAGAGCAGCCCGAAGAGCGGCGCCGGCCAGGCGCGGCGCAGCAGGGGCCGCAGGCTGGGCACGGCGCCCGGGAACGGCTGCTCCAGCCAGTCCAGGTACGTGCGGTAGCGGAAGAACGGGCCTGCGGCGGAGGGGGCAGCGGTCAGGGACCTGCAGGCCGGGACTAGGGCCGGGGGGCGGGGCTCCAGTCTGGGGGAGGCGAGGGCCAGAGACCCGGGGGCTTGGTGGGCGCAGAAGGGAGACAGAGACCCAGAGGAAAGCAGAGGCGGGGGTCCGGGGAGGGAGGCCCAGAGTAAAAGGGACAAGGGCCCTAGCCGGTATGGCTCAGTGGATAGAGCGAGGCCGTGGGCTTGAAGGGTCCCGGGTTCGATTTTGGTCAGGGGCACATACATCGATGTGTCTCTCTCACATCGATGCTTCTCTTTCTGTCTCTTCCCCTTCCTTCCACTCTCTCTAAATATCAGTGGGGCCCTGGCTGGTTTGGGTCAGTGGATAGCACATCGGCCTGTGGACTGAAGCGTCCCCAGTTCAATTCCTGTCAAGGGCACATGCCTGGGTTGTGGGCTTGACCCCAGTAGGGGGCGTGTGGGAGGCAAGGGAGAGGGAGAGATAGAAACATCAATGATGAGAGAAAATCGTTGATCAGCTGCCTCCTGTACACCCTCTACTGAGGATCCAGCCTGCAACCCAAGCATGTGCCCTTGACAGGAATGGAACCTGGGACCCTCCAGTCCACAGGCGAATGTTCTATCCACTGAGCCACCCCAGCCAGGGCTGCAGTGTATCTTTTTGGGGAGATGAAACTGTTATACCACGGAGGAGGTTTGGGGGATGAGTGGCAGGGATGGTAAAACATGCACAACTCCATGAGCACACTGAAAACCAGCAAACTGGCTGAGCCCATGGTGGGAAAAGATGTCAGTTATAGCTCAATCAAGTTGTCACAGGGAAGAAAACCTTGTAGGCAGTCAACGATCATGACAAATAGCTTCTGAAACTGAAATGCGATCAGAACCTCAGAGGGAGTGTAGGGGAAGGTGGGGATAAAAGGGAGAGATCAACCAAAGGACTTGTGTGCATGCACAGGAGCCTAACCAGTGGTCAAGGACAACAGGGGGGTGGGGGCATGGGTGGGGAGGGGTGGGGAATGGGAATGGGGGATTGAGGACAAATATGTGATACCTTAATAAAGGAATTAAAAAAAAATGCAATCAGAAGCTGTGAATATCTGTCCCCTGGGTGGCAGGCACATCAAGTCTACACAGACTTTCCTCCTTTAAGTCCTGTTTGATCCCCAGAAGCTACACGGAACCACAGGCCGAGAACCGTCCCAGCCTCCCCTGGAGGAGCCCTGGGTCCAGACGCAGACGCTCACCATGGGAGCAGCGGATGCTGAGGATGGAGAGGGGGTAGGGGAGGGGATGGGAGGGGAGGAGAGGCGGGAGGCGAGGAGAGGCGGACACTCACCGGTCATGATCCCCACGTAGCAGTAGCTGTAGCTGAGGGTCTCCAGCAGAGAGGGGATGTAGGGCAGCAGCCCCAGGCTGGGCCCCTGGCTGAAGCCCGCTGCCATCTCCTTCCTCTGGGCCAGGTGCAGGTCCTGCACCTCACTGGCCAGGCTCACCAGCTGGGAGGAAGGGGTGCAGGGGATGGACAAGTCAGACTTGGTTCTGCCTCACACCACCGCCTCTCACGGCAGCCAAGGCTGCTGGGGTGCAGCTGGGAGCCGAGCTCCACTCCCCGGGGAGCGTCTGAGGTGACAGGAATGGCATCTTAGGGTCTCTATCGACGGCAGGTGCTCAGCCGGGCTCATTTCTAGGCCCACCTGTCTTTTTTGTTGTTGTTCTGTTATTAATTCTCACCCGAGGATAGCTTTCCATTGATTTTTAGAGAGTGGGAGAGGGGAAGAAATGAGAGAGGAACATCGACGTGAGAGAGACACATCAATTGGTTGTCTCCACAGGCACCCTGACCAGGCCAGGAGTCAAACCTGCAACCCAGGTATGTGCCCTTGACCGGGACTTGAACCCATGACCCTTCAGTGCACAGGCCAACACTCTAACCACAGAGCACACCAGCCAGGGCCGGCCGGTCTTCTTTCTCCCTGTTCCCTCCGTCTGTGTTCTCCTGCCATCTGGGGCTTTAGGTACCCCCGATCCTCACCTCATGACTCCTACACTCTACTCCTGGCTGGGATCTCTCCCCCCCAAGCCTATTCATCCAGTTGCTTCCGACCAATAGTCGGACTGAGCACATGCGCAGTGGAACCCCGTAGTAGCCACCCCCCAAGCCAGATCCACTATGAGGCTCTCCCCTCAGGCAATGGTGTTGCCATTCCATTCATTGTTCAGGCCTCAGACCTACCCGATTGCATTGCTTCCTCCACCTCCACCTCCACTTTCTCCACCTCCAGTGGGTCTGAGTCTGCCCAGCCAGGGAGGAAGGCACGCCTCGGGGCTGGGGTTTCAATCCCCTGTAAGAGCACTCTGGGCTGGTGTGGCCCCAGAGTCACCTCAGGTGACAGCCTCCGTCTCGCTCCTCTGCCTGCCCCTCTTCTCCTCCCCTGCGCGGGGTCATCCGAAATGGGGCATTTCCTGTTGGGACTCGGACTGACCGAGAGCCTCATTACGCCGCCAGCTGGACCTCACCCCATCTCTCCTCTCTGCCGCAATCTCCGGAAGCAACCCGCGCGAGATTTCTAAACACGCAAACCTGCCCCGGCCAGTGGGGAGAGCGGCGCTCCCTGCGCCAAGGTAGCGGTTTGGTCCCTGGTCAGGACACAGATAAGGATCAACCAATGGATGCACAGATAAGTGGGACAACTCGTCGATGTTTCTCTCTCTCTCTCCCTTCTTCTCTCCCTAAAAATCAATAAATACTTAAAAAAAGAATCAACCAAGAAATGCATAAGTGGAAAAAGTCGATGTTTCTCTCTCTCTCTCTCCTCCTTCCTATCTCTTTAAAATCAATAAATACATTAAAAAAAAAATCAACCGAGGAATGCATCAATAGGAACGCCCTAGCCGGTTTGGCTCAGTGGATAGTGTTGGCTTTGGGACTGAAGGGTCCCGGGTTCAATTCTGATCAAGGGCACATGCCTGGGTTGTGGGCTTGATCCCCAGAAGGAGGCAGCTGATCAATGATTCTCTTTCATCATTGATGATTCTCTCTCATCATTGATGTTTCTATCTTTCTATCCCTCTTCCTTCTTCTCTAAAATCAATTTAAAATATTTTTTAAAAAATACGTGGAACAACAAATAGCCATTTCTCTTCCCTTTCCTCTCTCTCTAAGAAAATCAATAAAATTTGAAAAAACAAACATGCAAATTTGGTCACCTTACCTCTTCTGACAACAAAACCAAAACCCTCTTTCAAGGGACTTCCCCCCCCCCCCCCCCCCCAGGAGGAAGTCCGAACTCCTGGCTTTAGCCAACAAGGCCCTGCGCGGTGCGGGCCCTCGGCCCGGCCCTGCGGCCGGCACACCGCTGGCGGGCCGCTGTCCCCTCCACAGGCACCATCCTTGCATGCTGAAGGCCATTCCTCCAACTCTTCTGGCTAAGCGTCGCGTGCTGTCCCCAACTCCCTCCTGAAGGGACCCGTTCCCCAGCTCGGGTGTCTGTTCCGCTCCCTGATTCGCTGACGGATTCGCGCCCCGCGCCCCGTGGGAACTCAAGGATTCGGGACCTGGGATGGGGCCTGGGAAGCTGTTTTCACCCGTCTTCCCAGCTGGCTTAGCGCCAGACCTGGGTGTCCCGGTTTCCCGTCCCTGGATAAGTGCCTCCCACAACACAGCTGGCCCCAAAGAGGCAGGGAGGCTGCAGGTGAGCTCCCACACTCCCACACACGCGGTATTCCAGGTACCTCTTCGCCCAGGGTAAGGAGGGGGAGCCCCGCCCAGGGTGTGGGAGATAAAATCCCGGCTCCCCTGCTCCTCACGGGAGAGGCGGGGGCGGGGGTGGGAGGAGGTGAAGTTGGGGAGGATGGAAGGGAGCCTGACCTTCAGTGTGAGCAGCAGCTGGACGGCGTTGGTGAAGGGCGTGGGGGTGGGCAGGCCCAGCAGGCCGAGCCCGCGGAAGAACAGGAGGTAGGAGAAGGTCCAGGCCAGGGCCAGGGCGTGGCAGGAGCTGGGGCAGAGGCGAGAGGAGGTGGTGCCCGGCTCTGGGAGCTGAGCCGGCCTCCGCCTCCCCAGATTCTGGCTCCCCAGATTCTGGCTCCAACTCCTTCCCCACCCCACACCTTCAGAGACAGAAAATGGGGGTGGGGGCAGGATGAACAAGATTGAGACAGCGGGGGAAGAGGCAAAGCGCCTACAAATACACAGAAATAGAGAATAAGAAGAGGTTAAGAGAGCTTTTGCAGGGAGGAAGGGGGAGAGGGAGGGCGGGAAGGAGAGGGGGTAGGAATAGAAATATGAATATGAATATGCAAATGAGAGGTGGCAGGGCCAGCAGAGGAGTTAATGTGGTCCTCTCCTGAATTCATCATAAGACTGTGGAGGACCCAGACACACACACACACAGGAACAAGGCCCAGGAAGGCAGGAGGGGGAAAAAACAAACCACCCACACAAACAGATCAACAAGAGGGACGGCCAGCAGAGCAGCTAGCAGAGCGAGGCAGGGGTCAGGCAAGACTCAAAAGGAGGAACCTCCCCCCCCCCCGTGCCCCCCCCCCCCCCGCCCCGCATCCTCACCAGGGCTGGGCCTGAATGAGGGCCCAGGTCCCAAGGATGGTGATCAGGGAGTGCAAAGTGTGGGGGCCACACGTGAACAAGGTGAGCCCCAGGCCCACCGCTGCTGCCCCCCATCTCTTCAGCCCAGGTCCTGCGGGGAGAAGAGAGAGCATCAGCCTTCCAGGGGTTCCCCCCTCTCGGTCCCCCCCCCCCACCTTATTTTCCACTGGGGAGGGAACCTGACTCACCAGCTTTCTTAAAGAGGAAGCCGATGGGGATGGAGATAAGAAGAACCACTAGATACGTCCACTCCTCTGGCGACATGGTCTGGGGGAGGGGCAGGGGCTCACAGTGAGAACCCAGAAGCCAGGACCTCCCCCCCCTGCCCCCAGACTCTCCCCCTTAAGGGATCCGAGAACCTGCTCCTTGGTCCCCAGCTGTGGAGGACCCTGGAGTCCTACCCTCAGCGCCTCTCGGTTGAGAACATTAAGAATCCGGACCCCCAGGCCCTTCCTCCTGCAAGAGTAGGATTCCACCCGTAGGCCCTCCAACCCCCTTTCGGGAACCCGGGCCCCCAGCCCTCTTTTCCTTTGAGAACCCAGGAGGCCAGATCTCCAGCCCCCTCCTCCTTCGAGGGTCTGGGAGCCCAGGCCCCGTCTTCTGGTCCCCCCAGCACTTCCCTCTTGGAGCACGCAGGTCTCCCGACCCCCAGCCCGGCTCCGAGAAGGCTCAGAGGAGCCCAGGCCTCCAGCCTGCACATCTTTCCCAGCTCCAGACCCCTCTCCTGCCTGCAGCCCCGAGGGGGGCCCCCCGAGGGTCTTAGGCTCCCTCCCCAGCCCCACTCCGGCTGCGCGCACCCAGCGCCGTCAGGTCCGCCCGGAGAAGCCACAGGCAGTTACGCCATCCCGAGCTCGGCCGCGTTCCCGCACCGCCCCCGTCCCCGTCCCCGTCCCCCGCCGATGGGCAGCGACCCCACCGCTGCTCCGGGCGCTCGCACCCGAGCCCACCTGGGCCCGCCTCCGCGCCGCCCGCCAGGCAGGAGGCGGCAGAGCAGTCCAGGCTCGCCGTCCACCCCGGGCCAGCCACGCCTCCCCGCCGCGCGCCCCCGCCTCTCTCGGGAGCCGGACGGGCTGCGCTGAGCGATCTGGAGCCGGGTGCGCGGCCCCCGACAGGCTCGGAGGCAGCGAGGGAGCTGGCACTCGGCGCCGGGAGCCTCCACGCGTGCAGGGCTGGATCTGGACTCCGGCACAACCGAACCAGAATACCCCGCGAGGCGGGGCTTAGTGCTCGGAAAGAGGAGGGGCAGAGCCCCGGGCTGCGAGGGCCACGACTGGTCCCGGGAGGAGGCGGGGCCTCCGCTTCGGGTTCCTCCTGGCGGAGTCCCGAGGCCGCTCGGAGGCGGAGCTACGAGCTTCGGTGTCCTTCGGAGGTTGTCGCATCCTGAAGGTCTGTGTTCGGAAGTGGGCGGGGCCAAGCACTTTGAACGCGGTGGGTGGGCGGGGCTTCGCTTTCCTTCGGAGATAGAAGGGCGGGGTTTGCTGTGGGCGGAGTCTCACGGTTAGGGGGCGTGGCCACAGGCTTAGACCCCAGGAAAGGGGCGGAAATCGGGACATTTTCAAGGGGCCAGGCTGACAGTTCGTCTATAAAGGGGCGGGTCCCCAGGCGGTGTCAGTCAGCCAAGGAGGGCGGAGCCAGGGTCATAGGTCTCAGGTTGGGGAGGTGCGTCTCGGAGGGCGGGGCTAAGGTGCTTCACTTCAGGGGGAGGCGGGGCTACGGCCCCGCGGGGCGGGTCCCAGGCTTCCCGCCTCCCTGAGGTGGCGGCGTGACGAAGTTGACGCAGGGGGGTCTGCATGGGGAGGCGGTGGAGGAGGCCGCGTGAGGTGCGCCACCAGGGGCGGCTCCGCCGGCACCGGGAGCCGGTGTTTACGAGGTGACCAGCTGGTTCTACCGGAGGGCGGCGCCACATTCCGAGGGGGAGCGAGCAGGCGGACTGCGCGCTCACGAGCGCGAGGTGAGCCTGTTGGAGCGGAGAGCCGAGGGCGGGTGCTCGGGGGGCGGGGCCTCGGGCCGCGGGATCCGGTCCTGGGGCGGGGCTCTCCAATAGGGAGCGCGCTCGCGGCAGGAGGGGGCGGGGCCTCCAGCTGCGGGTTGACGGGAGCTGAGGGAGACCGAACCCCGAGCTGCTGACGTTCGGGAAGGGGCGGGGCCCTCCGTTCGGCGCAGCCGAGAGCTCCTGACCGCGGAGCCGCTTCCTTCCGCCCGGAAGGGGGCGGGGCCTAGGGCGTGGCCTTGGCCTCGGGACGTCCCGGCACCTGACGGGAACGGCCGAAGGGAGACGCCGGCTTCGCGAGAGGCCGGTGCAAAATGGACCTCTCGAAGGGGCGTGGCTCCGCCCGGAGGCTTTTCTAGGGGACGCGGGGGCGCGGGGGCACTACGGCGGGTGCGACTGTTGGCCCGGACGGAATGTTGATTCCCTGATTCCGGCGGCGCGGCGCGGCGCGGGGCGGGGCCCGGCGCCAGGGGGCGGGGCCTCGGCAGGTGGCGAATGCGGCGGGAGCGAGGCCCCGCCCCCCGAGGCCCAGGGGCGGTGCTTCGCCGGGACCCCGGGCGGTGGGCTCGCTGTGGGCGGCCCTGGCTGACTGCGCTGCCCCGGCCCCCGCAGGACGATGCTGGTGGTGGAGGTGGCGAACGGCCGCTCCCTGGTGTGGGGGGCCGAGGCGGTGCAGGCGCTGCGGGAGCGCCTGGGAGTAGGGGGCCGCACGGTGGGCGCCCTGCCCCGCGGGCCCCGCCAGAACTCGCGCCTGGGCCTCCCGCTGCTGCTGATGCCCGAGGAGGCGCGGCTCCTGGCCGAGATCGGCGCCGTGACCCTGGTCAGCGCCCCGCGCCCGGATCCCCGCGGACACAGCCTGGTAAGGGGGCGGGTGGGGTAATGTGGGAGTGGGCCACCGGGATCTCCGGGTTCGGGGCCCTAAGGGTGGGTGGGGGGTGTGGGGGCTCAGGGAGTCAGGCTCCCTGGCTTCCTAGGGGAGGGCATACCTGGACCCTGAGGTTGCAGCCGAGGTTACTTCTCAGGCTCTGGCATCCTTCAAGCGCCAGCAAGAGCAGAGCTTCCAGGAGCAAAGCGCCCTGGCGGCCGAGGCCCGGGAGACCCGTCGCCAGGGGCTCCTGGAGAAGATTGCAGAGGGCCAGGCGGCCAAGAAGCAGAAGCTGGAGCAAGATTCCGGGGCCAGCGAGAGCCAGGAGGCCGGCGAGAACCAAGCAGCGGCTGAGAACGAGGCCGGTGCGAGCCAGGCTTCGGGAGGAGAGCAGGAGGAAGCAGGTGAGGGTGGGAGTGGAGCCTGGGACCCGGGGGAGGAGTGGACAGATCTTTGGGGAATTCTGGGCTGGGGCTCTAGGGCTTGGGTCTCCCTTAGGGATGGGATGGGAAGACCTTCCGTCTTGGATTCATCAACTCTGGGGTTCACCTCCGCAGGCTCCTCCTGTCCCCAACCGGGGCCCTCCGAGGGGGTGGCCCCCTTGCCCAGGTCTGCCCTGCTGGTCCAGCTAGCCACTGCTCGGCCTCGACCCATCAAGGCCAGGCCCCTGGACTGGCGTGTGCGGTCCAAGGACTGGCCCCACGCCGGCCGCCCGGCCCACGAGCTGCGCTACACCATCTACAGGGACCTGTGGGAGCGAGGCTTTTTCCTCAGCGCGGCTGGCAAGTTCGGAGGCGACTTCCTGGTCTATCCTGGTGAGTGTGGACCCGGACCTCTGGTTGCTGGCCCTTTTTTCACAGTCCCTCCACAGTTCTGCATTTTTCTTTCTTTCTTTTTTTTTTCTGCCTCATTTTTCTCAGCGTCTGAAACTCATGGAGGGACAGGAGACAGTTGGGATCCCCAAGCTTATTTGGAGGATAATATAGTAAATGTTATTAATACTTTCATCCAGAAGTTTCACTTAAAAATACTTAAGATATATATATATATATATATATATATATATATATATATATGTCAAACATATAAGGAATATTAACTGCAGGATTGTGTTTTACAGTATTCAAAAGTTAGGTTTATAATCAGGATGATTTAAGAAATTAGTGGTCGCTGGGACCGGTGTGGCTCAATGGATAGAGCGTCGGCTTGGGGACTGAAAGGTCCCGGGTTCGATTCCAGTTAAGGGCATGTACCTCGGTTGCGGGCATATCCCCGGTAGGGGGTGTGCAAGAGGCAGCTGATCGATGACTCTCTCACATCGATGTTTTTAACTATTTCTCTTCCTTCCTCTCTGTACAAAATCAATAAAATTAAAATAAAATTAAAAAAAAAAAAAGAAGTTAGTGGTTGCCGAAACCGGTTTGGCTCAGTGGATAGAGCGTCAGCCTGCGGACTGAAAGGTCCCAGGTTCGATTCTGGTCAAGGGCACGTACCTTTGGTTGTGGGCACATCCCCAGTGGGGGGTGTGCAAGAGGCAGCTGATCCATGTTTCTAGCTATCTGTCCCTTTCCCTTCCTCTGTAAAAAAAATCAATAAAAATATATTTAAAAATAAAAATAAAAAGAAGTTAATGGTTAAATATCACTGGTAGCTTTCAGAGAAGCACCATTAGTTGTCAGACTGACATAGGTCCATGCAAGTTTATTTTAAAAATGACCAAAGGGCCAAAACCGATTTGGCTCAGTGGATAGAGCATAGGCCTACAGACTGTAGGATTCTGGTCAAGGGCATGTACCTTGGTTGCAGGCTCCTCCATGGCCTGGGCCCTGGTTGGGGCTCATGCAGGAGGCAGCCAGTCGACATTGGTTTCTCTTTGTGTTTCTCTATTTCCTCTCCCTAAAAAAAAAAAATCAATAGAAAAATATCTCCTGGTGAGCATTAACAAAAGAAAAACACATCAATGTGAGAGAGAAACATTGATCTGCTGCCTCCCATATGTGCCCTGACTGGAATCAAACCCTCCACCTTTTGATAGATGGGATTATGCTCCAGCCAACTGAGCCACACCAGCCAGGGCTAAGGGCATCTGTTTTAAAAACACAGTGGCCCTAGGTTAGCTGGTGTTTCTCAGGGGTTAGAGCATTGGCTGCACACCAAAGGGTCTCGAAGATAAGTACTGGGTTTTGGGTTTGATCCCCAGGTTGGGCTGCTTCGGGGAGGTAACCAGTTGATGTCTCTCTTTCTCTCCCCTCCCTCCCTTCCACTCCTGAAAAGCAATGGGAAAACAATAGCCTTAGGTGAGGATTAAAAAAACACACCCAAGTCAGTGTTTGCTTAAATGGTTCCCTACCTCCTGTCTGCGGGCAGTGCAGTGCCTCCCAGCCTGTGCCATGGGACTGCTGCATGCCTCTCTCCTCACCCAGGCGACCCGCTCCGCTTCCATGCCCACTACATCGCCCAGTGCTGGGCTCCTGAGGACCCCATCCCACTCCAGGACCTGGTTTCTGCCGGCCGCCTGGGCACCAGCGTCAGGAAGACGCTGCTCCTGTGTTCTCCGCAGCCTGATGGTAAGGTGGTCTACACGTCCCTGCAGTGGGCCAGCCTGCAGTGAACTCCAGAGACTCGGGGTGCGGCTGTGTCTGGGGCCAGAGCCTTTCTAGATGGTTCCAAGTTCATCTTGTGTGGGAGACTAGAACACCTTCCTACCTCTGCCTACGGCTGGTGTTTGATCCCGGATTTACAAACACTGCCTCCTTCTTGTGTCCCTCCATGCTTCAAAGCACTGACTGACTGTGTTGTTTTGGTAGTTCCTTATTTCCAAACTGTGAGCCTCTTGGGAGTGAAGACTCGGTTTGGTTCATCTCTGTTTTCTACAGGGCTCAGGTCCCAGGAGATCTCAATAAACCTGTTGAATACATGTTGTGTTTGTGATTTGAATCCTTAGGACAGTCCTTGGGAGGGTGGCCATTTGCATCTGGTTTTACATGAGCAAAAGAGGGGAAATGACTTGCCCAAGATCACACAGCTAGTAAGTAACAGGTTTGGGATTTCTTTTTAAAAAAAAAATATATTTTATTGATTTTGTACAGAGAGGAAGGGAGAGAGATAGTTAGAAACATCGATGAGAGTCATCGATCAGCTGCCTCTTGCATACCCCCTACTGGGGATATGCCTGCAACCAAGGTACATGCCCTTGACCGGAATTGAACCCGGGACTTTTCAGTCCCCAAGCCGACGCTCTATCCATTGAGCCAAACCGGTCTTGGCAGGTCTGGGATTTCTGACTCTGAACAAAGTCTGAGCTATTCCCACTGTGTTAAAACTTCCTTTTGAAAATATTTTAATGAAATATTTCAGATGCTGCTTATATAATAATACCTAATATGCAAATCGACCAAACGACAGGACGACCGATCGCTGTGATGCACATTGACCACCAGGGGCAGATCCTACAATGAGCAACTGGTCCCTCCCCCCCACTCCAGAGGGAGGCAACTGGCAGGAGTGGCAATTGGGTGGGGGGCAGCCAGTGGGGGGCACTAGGTCGCCAGCCAAGGCTGGTGTCAGTGGGGCCCCACCCCGATCACCCTGCCTACCGGTGGCCCCACAGATGGCCCTGACCACTGGCCAGGCCTAGGGACCCTACCCTTTAATGGGAACAGTCTCTTTTATTTAAAAATAAAACTGGCAAGGCTACTCTAACACTGAAAAAACAGGATGATGCAGCGATGACATGCACGGACTCTGGCTTGCACATTTGTGGTCAGCCCTGATTCTGACATAACTGTGTGACAAAGCCAATTACTTAACTTCTGCTTCAGTTTTTCCATCCATAAGATGGGAAAATGGTACTACTGCCCCAGTTATGTTCTACTTTTTATAATCAGGGCAAAAAAATGTAGCTGCCCATCCAACAGCAAGGTGCCTTTCATCTGTATGAGAAGTATGGTCACTGGAGCACGCAGCGTCCTGTATTGCGAGAGGATGCAGGCTGAACTGAGGACCCCTTCTCCCTCCCCGCTCCCCCCGTGCACAAATTTCATGCACCGGGCCTCTAGTGTATAAATAAAAATGCATGAAGAGAAGGAGGTGAATGTTGTTTCAGAATGGGTTTAGAAAGGGGAGGAGAATGTCAGGAAATGCTCTTGGGTCTTCTGGAATAGCATAAATTTATAGTCTAGCTCCTTTATTATTATTTTTAAAATATATTTTTATTGATTTCAGAGAGGAAGGGAGAAACATCAATGATGAGAGAGAATCATTGATTGGCTGCCTCTTGCACACCCCCTACTGGGGATGGAGCCCACAACCCGGGCATATGCCCTTGACTGGAAACGAACCCCGAACCCTTCAGTCCGCAGGCGGACACTTTATCCACTGAGCCAAACTGGCTAGGGCTAGATCCTTTTTTAACATGTGTCATATTCCACAATCTTTTACAAAAGCTAAACAACTAGGTATAAAGTAGGCAGATGATCCCTGTAACAGTGCGAAAGGGCCAGGACTTGATTAGAGACTGACAGCTTCCCTAATTTTTGTCCCTGGTTCCAACTGAAGATCAAGAGAAAGCCAAGCCCTGGCTGGTGTGGCTCAGTGGATAAAGCATCAGCCTATGGACTAAAGGGTCCTGGGTTCCATTCTGGTCAAGGGCACAAGCCCAGGTTGCAGGTTCGATCCCCAGCAGGAGGCAGCCAAACAATGATTCCCTCATTGATGTTTCTCTCTCCCTCTCCCTTCCTCTCTAAAATCAATAAAAATATTAAAGACAACAAATAAAACTACCTTTTGGCCACTATAAAAACCCTTCTGCCTGCCTTGGAGTCTGCCAAGATGCAGGTGACAGTGATTGATGCTGTCACTCTGAATAGATATCCTTTGCTTGCTTTCATTTATTTCCACATTGGGCAGTCTTGCACAGGTTTTGTAACCACCAGTGTTAGTGCTCCTTAATGAGGACGGGCAACTTCTCCGAGAGCCCTCGTAAGCAGGTATTGAGGATTAAATACATTAATTCATGGTAAATTCTTTGAGCAGTGCCTCCTGTGTAGTAAGCATTTCAGAATGCCACGTATTATTTTAATACAATTGTAGGCCACTAGAATTTTTTAAAACCCAGATAGTGTTTGGCCCAAAGCCTAGCACATTTGAAGGGCTCAGTAAACTTTAACAACGACAAGCAAAGCCCTGTGGTGTGAATGGGATTATTCCAGGAAGTAAAGGACTAGAAGAAATAATCCTGAGGGTAAGTTGTTGGCAAAGGAGATAAAAAAATTGCCAATTCTGCACATTTGTGGTCAGCCATGATTTGGCTCAGTGGATGGAGCTTTGGCCTGGGGACTGAAGGGTCCCAGGTTCGATTCTGGTCAAGGGCATGTGCCTTGGTCGTGGGCACATCCCCAGTAGGGAGTGTGCAGGAGGCAGCTGATCGATGTTTCTTTCTATCCCTCTCCTTTCCTCTATAAAAAAATAAACATTAAAAAAAACCCTGCCAATTCCTCCAGGTTGACAAATGGTGTCAAGGTGGAGCAAACTATGCAGGGGGAGGTTTCTAAACAGCCATCCGGTCCTGGGAACCAACCTCAAGACTAGAAACTGCTGCCCCAGCCCGTTTGGCTCAGTGGATAGGGCGTCAGCTTGTGGACCACAGGGGCCTGGGTCCGGTTCCGGTCAAGGTTGCAGGCCCCTCACTGGGCCTTCTCTCACATTGATGTTTGTCTTCTTCCACTCTCTCTAAAAAAAAAAATCAATGGGAAAAATAGCCTCTGGTGAGAATTAAAAATAAAAAGGAAAAAACAAAACCTGTTGTCTTAGGGAAAGAGGCAGCAAGCCGCCCTGGCGGGGAGTTCAGTTGCTCAGAGCATCCTCCTGAAGTGCCAGGGTGGCGGGTTCCATCCCCGCCCGGGGCACAGATGGAATCAACCAGTGAGTGGCATGGAAATCCATGTTTCTGTCTTCTTTCATTCTTAAAAAAATCTATAGAAAACTTGGGAAGGAAAAAAAAAAAAAGGCACCAAGCTTTTTTTTATCCTTGGGTCTTAAAAAAATAAAAAAAATCAAGCCCCCTCCTCAGAGTCCGCCGGCACCATCCCATCGGAAGTACCATTCCCCTACGTCCTGGTCGGTAATTTATTTTCCTCACGGCTCCGCTCCGAAGGGATTGACTTCCTCCAATTTGCTATATTTTTTCCGTTTCCATGAGACTCGAAGCTCCGGGAGTGGAGGGGCCGTCCCCGCGCGGAGCCATTCCGGGTGCAGCTCCGACAATTCCTCACGAGGCGCCGCGGAGGGCGGGAGGGCGGGCGGCCGTCCCGGCAGCCGGGCCGCCACGTGAGGCGTCGCCGCGGGTCCCTCCGCTTCCCGCGTCCACGCCTCACACTTGCAGCCGGCGTCCACAGGGCAGGCTGGCTTCGGGGTGACGTAGTTCTGAGGAGAGAACGGCTCCATTGTTCACCGAATCCACGGAGAATCTTCCGGAAGAAGCGGTGAGCCCCCGGAGAGGGAGCCGGCTGAGGTCTGAGTGGGTGGCGGCGCCGTCTCCAACGTTACACCGAAGCGGGGGCTGGCGGACGGGACTTGGGGCACCACCAGGGGGCGGAAGAGGGACCCCACTTCAGGAGCCCGCGGCGCCCCGAGTTCCTGTCAGGGCGAGACCGACGCGTCCCGGGTTTATTAAAGCCGCTCTGGCCCCGCCTCTCGTCTCCACGGCGGCGCCGCCCGCCAACGCCTCTTCTGATTGGTGCAGGCATGCGCCGTGCGCGCTGACGTCACCGACGTCAGCGTTGGTATAAAAGCGCGGCAGGGGCGCGCACGCTCCTCTTTCTCTGCCGGGTCCGCGCTTCGCTTAGGTGAGTTAACGCGCTTCCTGGTCCCGGTGTGGGTTTTGAGGCCGCGCGGGCCTCCTCAACTTGGATAAAAAGTGAAGAGGTTGGGGCGGGCGGTGAGATGAGGGTGGTTGAGACTGGGCGGCTGCCCGTTTGTGGCGTGAAGGAGGTTCGGGAAGCTTTGGGGACGGTTCTCGCGAGATCTCGGGGCGCCACGGGATTCTAGCCGAGATCTGGGACCGCGCAGGCGCCGAGCGCGTTCCTCACCGTCGGGGCTTTCTCTCCTGCGCAGGCGGAGCGGCGCAGCCAACATGCCGGTCGCCCGGAGCTGGGTTTGTCGCAAGACCTACGTGACCCCGCGGAGACCCTTCGAGAAATCCCGGCTCGACCAAGAGCTGAAGCTGATCGGTGAGGGGCCGAGGCAGGGTTTCGGCTTCCGGGGTCGGCGGGAAAGGCTGACGCGTGGGTGAGGCCGGCCACGTGCTCGGTCTGGTCTAGTTCTCCGCGGTGTGTTCTCTTCGTCCCCCAAGTCCAGAACTTTTAGTAGTTGGGGAAGATGTGTGTGGACCCCTCAGCCACCAATCCAGCTTTGGCACTAGCCCATTAACTCCCACCCACCTCAAACCCTCCTCCCTTTATTCATTTGTTATTTTATTTTTTTGCAGGAGAGTATGGGCTCCGGAACAAACGTGAGGTCTGGAGGGTCAAATTTACCCTGGCCAAGATCCGCAAGGCTGCCCGGGAGCTGCTGACGCTGGACGAGAAAGACCAACGGCGTCTGTTTGAAGGTACGTGTGGGGAGCCCACGGGACAGCCATGAGGTGCAGGGCGGCTGCGGTTCTCACAGGGGTGCCTGTCCAGTGGTCAGAGTGTTAACGTTGAACAAGTGGATCCTTGGCGTTTCAGGAGAACTGGGGGGTGGAGAAGTGGCTCTGGATATAAATCCCTACACTGTCCCTTGTGAGCGACTTTGTTTTACTCAAATAACGGAGCTTGCTTTTCTGTGGACCACAATCAGTAATGCCAGCGTAGCTGGGGCACCTGGCCAGAGCTGTGTAGTATATATGACGTGACAGTGGTTCTGGTGGGATAATCAGTGAAATTCTGATGGGGATTGCAGGGAAGGGGACTTGGCTGTGGACATTTGCCTGCTTAAATAAGGCGTTCAGGGACGTTCAGGTGACATTTAGCAAAGGCTGAACAGGAGAGAACTTGTGGATATCACAGGGAAGACATTTTTAGACTTAAGGTCTTTTTAAAATATATGTATATATATTTTATTGACTTTTTTTTTTTTAACAGAGAGGAAGAGAAAGGGATAGAGAGTTAGAAACATTGATGAGAGAGAAACATCCATCAGCTGCCTCCTGCAAACCTCCTGCTGGGGATGTATCCGCAACCAAGGTACATGCCCTTGACCAGAATCGATCCTAGGACCCTTGAGTCCACTGAGCCAAACCGGTTAGGGCAAGACTTAAGGTCTTAATTTTCTACTTGGAGATGGGAAGTTAGTGGAAGAAGGAAACCATCACACTAAATTTTAATTGTAAGGTGGCAATAATATTAAAATAGCTGATTGGTATTTTATAAGGTTTGCTAAATGCCTTTTTTAAAAGATCTTCATATGTGTTATTTAACCTGCACAGAACCTGCTGATACCTGTAAGAATAAAGGGTGAGAGACGCCTCCCGTTGACAATCTCATGAAAGTTGAGAATCCCCTTTCCCAGTGACACTGGTATTGGGTGAGCCTTAATCCCAGAGGTTGTAGGGAGCAGAACCTGCTGGTTCTGGTCTCAGGACTCAGACTCGGAGCTAGTCACAGTGAAACTTGAGGCTGTAGTTTGATGACAGCCAAGGGGCAGAGATGATAGGTGATCTGTGGATGTCCAAGGATTGTGGTTTTCCGGATAGAAATGAAAATTGCAAGGGGAAGTCAGCACCTTCACTTTCTAGTAAATGAAGCAATTTAGTAACAGGAAAGGGAGGGAGAAGTGAAGCTAAACCTTTCAAGGACAAAAGTTTTGGGCTTTCATCTCCGTGTTAAGATGCTAATTAGCTATAAGCCTGTGCTATGAAGGTGGTAGGGCTTTCTTAACTCCAGAATATTAGCTTACTACCCCCCTCCCCCAATGCTTTGTCCTGGGAGTCAGTTTGATAACAGCAGCCCTTAGTCTTGCTGAGTCTTTTTAGTGACTTATCATTTTCCTTCCTGACAACTCTGAGGAAGGCTCTCCTTCTGGAATACCAGATGAGAACATAGCTGTGTGTAGTCACATGCCCTCCCTGGTGAATGGATGTAGCCATAGGGTGTGTGAGGGTCACACCAGTCACGTGGTGGCTGGTATGTTGATTCATATGTCAGAATTAGCTCGTACTTCCACGGATGTCCCACCAGCATGGTCAGCACAGGGTGGAGGACTTGCACCCATCAAGTGTGAGTGTGAGGTCAGCCGGAACCGTGGCTCATGCTTCCTTCCCCTCCCCAGGCAATGCCCTGCTGCGGCGCCTTGTCCGCATCGGGGTGCTGGACGAGGGCAAGATGAAGCTGGATTACATCCTGGGCCTGAAGATTGAGGATTTCTTGGAGAGGCGCCTGCAGACCCAGGTCTTCAAGCTGGGCTTGGCCAAGTCCATCCACCACGCCCGCGTGCTGATCCGCCAGCGGCACATCAGGTACCACCAATGCCAGGCTCCCTGAATCGCTCACCCCCTGCCACCCCATGCCTTCTGAAGGTTGCTCTCACTAAGCCTGCTGTCCCTGTCTCCTGTGCAGCCCTCGGAGGTGACAAAGGTGTGAGCTCACCTTGAGGGTACAGAGTGACCCCTACAAACAGCTTGTGGGGAGCTGGGGGCCGCCTCACCCCCCCATAGCCCAGCGCAAGGGTCACTGCGGCTTGAGCCGTACACCTTGCGAAGGCCTCTGCCAGGCTGCAGGCAGCTGGACAGGTAACAGCTCTGGTGCCCCCAGTTGACAGAAGTCATTGGGCCTCAGTTTGCTTGGGTGGGCTCAGCTGTCTCTGAGGCCCACTTGTGACGTCCTTCCAGACCATGATCCTCTTGGATTCTTGCACAGGGGGTGTTAGCTTGGCCAGTGGACCACAGTCCAGGGTCTGATTTGGCGCAGATGCTGGCTCAGGGTGGCGGCTGGTGCAGTGAAGACGGTGCACCAGCACTGTCTTCAGTGGGTCTTTATCTGGGTACTGCTTGCCCTTTCTGTAAATTGGGCACCACTGAGTGGGACGGGGACAGGATGCTGATTTGTGCATTTGCAGCCTATTCCCTTCCCTAGCCCTGCGACCCACGGGCAAGAGCCTGCTACATTTCTTGTTGGAAATGACTTCCTGAAGCACTGTCTCGGGTGCTGCTTCCAGGGAAACCGGGAAAACAAAGCTCTGAGTCTGGCACAGTTCAGAATATTGGAAAGTCAGATATTCTGCCACCTCCCCTCATGGGCTTTGTGGCCTTGTGTGGTTACTTCTGCATCTCCCCATTCTCCCCGTTGTGTGAAATGAGAGAAGCTCATCTCACAAAGCATCTGTGTGCATTAGATTAGAAGGACCCGGAGGCTTAGCTGTGTGAGCGCAGCTATAAATGCCCAACCGGTCAGCTTGAGACGAGTGAGAGGGGAATCCTGTCCAGTGTGGGGTCCTGCTCCCCTTGACCTGCCATTTCCCCTCCAGGGTCCGCAAGCAGGTGGTGAACATCCCGTCCTTCATCGTCCGCCTGGACTCGCAGAAGCACATAGACTTCTCCCTCCGGTCCCCGTACGGGGGCGGCCGCCCCGGCCGCGTGAAGAGGAAGAACGCCAAGAAGGGCCAGGGCGGGGCGGGAGCCGGGGATGACGAGGAAGAGGATTAGGTCCCCTTGCCCCCTAGACTGGCGGGGTGTCTGGTTTTTCAGTCTGATAATAAAACACTTTGAAACTGGTGTCTGGTGATCTCTCCTTCCCTCCCTGCTCCGAACATAGTCTGTAACTGGGAAAAGTGGGGCCTGGGTCTTCCCAGGTTACTTGGAGCTAGTTCACACCTGTTCAGTGCTGCTTTCTGCACAGGGGCCTGGTTAATCTGGTTTGGTCAGATGCTTGTGGGCTTTTATTTCTGGTGTAAAAAAATTCAGTATCTATACATACACTATAAAGCCATCACCCCCTAAAGTCTAGTTGCTGTTCATCAAAAAGTTGGGGATGCTTCATGAATCTGTACGACATTCTTGCTCAGGACCATGCTGATCTGGCTGTCCACTTTTGTATGTGCTGCTGAAGCCACCACTGTAGGTACTTGTCACAGTCTGTAAATGCCTGTCCTTGGCCTGGAGGTGGGGACAGTGGGTCTGCGCTAGTGGATGGACATTCACACCACGGCAGGAAACCAAGGCTGTTAAGGGAAGGTTCTTTGAGTCAACCTGATTGTGAACCCTATTGGCAAGCAAATTTTTTAATTTTCACCTGAGTGTTTCCATTTGATTTTTAGAGTGGGTGAATTTGTCTGCTACACAAGCCCCAACAGGCCCTTGACCAGAATTGAGCCCGTGATCCTTTGGTCTGCAGGCTAACGCTTACCAAATGAGCTAGGGTGCAAACCATTTTTAAGTGTAAAGATAAGCATTCTGAATAGAATACAAAAAAATAGGAAGTTCTGACAGATGAACAGTCATTTCCATGCAGAGAAAATAGCAAGTGGAGGTCACAGGTTAGCTCCCACTTTTGTTTATGCAACTTCATTGAAAAAAAAGTCAATTACTAGCAGAGCTAATAGTTGATCACTCATCCATTGACAACTTGCATAATTTATTCAGTGCTATATTAAACTATTGGAAGAAAGATTAATAGCTCCAAGCCTAACTAAGTGAAAATTACAAAATGTTTTGAGACCCTATTTTGGAATACAAAGGGTGTTTGACTTATAATTTCCATTCTCTAGGACAAGAACAGGTCATTCCTTTATTGACATGCATAAAATACATCACATTTTCTGTTCTGATGCTATAAATTCAATACCAATTCTCCAGCCACATCAGTTATGAACATAAAGTATATCATGTAACTTCAGATCTCTAACAGTGGAAGGCTTAAGCAAGAATGGATGCTGCTAGAATAATGCTGTTTCCTTTGATGTGACAACAGCCTCCATTTCCCTCCCCCTCAGATGATTTCTAAAGCATGTTAGAGCAGCGAGGAATGGTTTTAGACTCAACCAAGTTAGAGTGAAGACATTGGCCACATAATACACATGCTCCATTTAAAAAAATATATATATATATAGATTTTTTACAGAGGAAGAGAGAGGGATTGAAAGTTAGAAACATCAGTGAGAGAATCATCGATCAGGTGTTTCTTGCACACCCCCCATCGGGGATGTTCCCGCAACCAAGGTACATGCCCTTGACTGGAATCGAACCCGGGACCTTTAAGTCTGCAGGCCGACACTCTATCCACTGAGCCAAACCGGTTTTGGCCACATGCTCCATTTTTTAAAAAATTCTGAATCTTGGGCAACTGTTCTCTTGTAACTACACAGTTTCTAAAAGCAGTTATTGTCCAAAGCTGGAAGAACTTGTCTTCTCATATGAGCATGTGAATGAACGGAGCGAGGTAAACAAAAAATAAAATTTAAAAAGATGAGGTCTGATGGAGCAGCTGGAGAAGAAAAAAAAGGAACGGAAGTTTATTCCAGCTATAATACAGTTCTGACTAAGGTAGCATCACATGGCATACTTCTGAGTCCATTCTCGCGATATTCTGTTGTACTTATCTCTCTTTTATAGATCCGTGCAATCTTTGACACTAGGGCGTCATTTGGGTTTGGATCATATAGCAGTGAACAAATGGATAAAAGAACTTCAGAAATAGTGAATCCAGGAGACCACTGTGATCTTAGAATATCGAGACAAATGCTGCCATTACTGTTAATATTTGGGCGATAAATTCTTGTTAAATGCAACCTTAGGTGCTTTGACGGGGTCTGTAGGGAAATGAATTGTCAAAAAGAATACACTGCCTTGATATGGGCTGAAGTTAGGTCCCATAATTGTGTTTTGCCAATGAAACATCCCCAACTGGACCTGCAGAGCACTGTGCTGGAGGGTCACGGGTCAAATCATCAAGTTCCTTATTAATCCGTTTCAGTGCCATAGTCTGCTTTGCATCTGGCTTCTCACTGTCTCCGTGTGTGCTCAAAGGTCTGGCCAAAACTCTTGATTACCCCATCGGCTCTGCCAGACACAGGCGCTGAGGGGCTGGGCCTCTCCAGCTGCTGCGTCAGCCTCCTCTGCGGAAGCTGGGTACCTCCCCGGCTCTCTAGCTCCCACTTCTTGCTTTTGACCCTGGTCCCTGGTAGGAAGTCCGGGTGAGGAGGGGGTAGGGGCTGAGAGCTGATCTGGATCCAGCCACCTTGGTTTGCTGAAGATCTACCGTGGTTCTTTGAAAATAAGACACCCTCTGAAAATAAGACCTACTTACAGGTTTCCTTCTGAGTGAATATAAGGCATCCCCCTGAAAATAAGCCCCCCCCCCCCCCCAGGCTAAACATGAGAGATTTGGTCCACTGATTCTGAAAGAAATGGAGTCACAAGAAATTCACCAGGAAATTCAGGAATTGGATTGTTAGGATGATGTTCCAGAAGATGATGACATGATTGTCATGGAATAAATGAGTAAATTCTTGATACTGTAGGATTCACAGTTTGTCTGGTTTGTGTTGACAATGACCGTACTACCATACCGTATACAGGTAATAAATTTCCTTTATTTTCATTTAATAATCAATGTGTACCGTATTCTTCTTCATGGAAAAATAAGACATCCCCTGAAAATAAGACCTAGCGCATCTTTGGGAGCAAGAATTAATATAAGACACTCTTTTTATTTTTGGGGAAACAGAGTATCTACAGGGTCATTCCACAGCTGCTTACCCATTGTTGACCGGCAGATTGTCAGTTCTGTTTTGAGATTTAAGTGGAGTGGGGGATGGGCTAGTGGCCTAGGGAGAAGCGCCCCTCCCCCCAGGGTCTGGGGTATGAAGAAGTGGTCAGGAGGGAGCAGGCTTCCCTTTTCCTTGCTGAGAAGCTTCTGCAGGCCGGGGAGGAAGTGGCCGAGTCTTGGGAAACCAGAAACACAAAGTTGAGCAACCTCTGAGCAGTGCAGCCACCTTGCGTCCTGTCCTGTGGTTGGCGCCCATCTGGGGACTTTTGGGCTCAAGTAAGCTAAGGGCACAGTGACAGTGGCTGGGCACTTGGCCCGCGCTCAGCCCAAGGTTGCCACTTGCATAGTATTGACTGCCTTGATGGCAGTTCCCTGGTGTCCTTGGCGTCTGCCGGGTCCCTCTGGCGGGATCTGTAGTCAGCTGTGTAATGATGCAGTTCCCGGAAGCCGTCAACTTCCAGAAGGTCCCAGGAGCTGCTGGGGGCACGTCAGGTCTCCAGGCTGGCAGGGGTCACTATCTGAGTGTCCATGGGGGCAGCTTTCATGCATGCCTTTTAGGGTCCCTGCAGGGACCTCCCTGGATTTGCTGGGCTAGTGCTTGGCCAGAGTAGCATACATGCTGGGCTCTTCTGGGGACTCCTCTGATGGGGAAGGAGGGGGTGCACTTGACTCCTGGCTGAGGGTCAAGGGCTTGAGCTGGGCGTAAGTCACTTCCTGGGTGTTGTTGGGTGCCGCAACCCGGGGGTCTTTAGCCTGTGGTGGGGAGAAGGAAGACTGGGGGTCAGGGTGGGGAAGCCCGAGGCCAGGGAGGAAAGGACAGTCCTGGGGCCTTAGTGGCCAGGGCTCTTCCGGACACACTGAGGGGTGGTCTTGGCTCTAGTCTTGCCCTCCGTCAGTCATCGTGTCCTTGGGGGTCTAGGGGAGGAGGCATGTGAGGTTGGAAGGTTGGAGGTGTGAGTCTGGTGCTGGGGAGACAGGAATTGGATGTGGAGCCGTCGCCATGGGTGGGTGGGGGGGCAGTCAGACCCCACTGTTACCCTCAACGGAGTGCCGTCCGTGCCCTATGGTAGGCTGAGGGAGCCTGCGTGTACAGAGCCTGTTGGCACCTGTGTGGCTCCTGGGCCAGGCGGGAGGATGGAGCCAGCGAGGGCTGAGGGAGGCGTTAGGACCCTTTGTGTGGGTTTTAGAAGCGCCCTCTGCAGGTGCAGCCCCTTGTGTGGGGCTCGGACTGCCCCCGTGCCCCCTGGACTTAGGGTGTGGACAAGGTGTGGGCGCCCTGCTCAGGACCAGGTGGAGCTCACCTGGCTGGCCAGCTGTCTGTCCCGCTCAGGCTGTGTGTCTTCTGCAACAGTATCTGGTGGGGACAGAACAAGGTCATCTCCTCTCCTGCCAAGCGTCCCTGAGGTCTCAGCCGGGAGAAGCCCAGAGAGGCTCAGGGACGTGGCCAAGGTCACACAGTAGGAGCTTCGAGCTGTCTCACCACCAAGCCCAGAAGCATTGCCAACCGATCCCTGGCCTCCACAGCCCATCCATAGTCCCTGCAGGAGGTTTTATCATTGACCTTCCCCATCTATTTGGTTTCACTCTGGCTGGCATCCTAAGCGCGTGCGCGCACACACACACACACCCCACCCCTTCTGTGACCCAGGTCACCCCTACTCACCCGATGTCCTGCCTTTGCTCTGACGCCGGAATCGGAGGAAGAGGAAGAGTAAGAGCAGCAGGACCAGGGCCACGGAGACCCCGATTAGGACAATCAGGTACCATTCACCTTGAACATGAGTGACATCATGAATGAGTCATTGATGCAATTAAATGAGAGCCTCCTGCATGTGAGAGGCACTTGCTGGGGTCTGTCACTGATCTTACCCTCACAACAGTCACCCACCAGGGACCGCTGACCTCACCCACTTCACTGAGGCTCAGAGAGGTCAGTCACCTGTCCCGGGTCACCCAGCCTTGGACGGGGCAGGGCTGGGATGGAACCCAGGACTGTCAGTTCCCTTACCTGTTGTTGTTATTACTTACGCTGTCTCTGTCCTTCCCAGTAGAACACCAGTGCAGAGACCTGTTACCAAATCCAACCACCGCCCTCTCTACCCCAGATCCCTGTCCCACTCTGCAGCCTGACCTCCCCACCCCCTACAGTGGGGCCTGTGCATGTGGGGTGTCTCTGGGAAGGACAGGAGGGAGGGCTGGTCCTTCTGAGCTCTAACCGGGCTGGGTTGCGTGCTGAGGGCCTTCCCTTTGGGGGAGGTGGGGCCTGACCCACAGCCCATGGACCAGGACTCGGAGGAACAGACGTGTCCAAGGCCCCACAGGCTGGCGGGAGCAGAGCCGGGACTTGGACCCAGGCTGAGGCTTCTCCTGACTCCACGGCTGCTCCTTGGAAAGCTATGGAGGAGGCTCAGACACTACCTGAGTCTCCAACACACACACACACACACACACACACACACACACACACACGCGTGCGCGTGCCCACGCCCACACACATGTGCACATGCAGACACACGTGCACACATCCACACACATGTACGCACAGACACGGGCACACTAAGTATTCAGCCTTTGGAGAACTTGGTCCCAGTGAGGAGGAGGAGGGACTTTCCTGAGGCCATTACCCAGGAAGTGGCTGAGCCAAGATCAACACTGAGCTAAGACCCCCATCTACCACCTCCTCCCACACCCTCACTTAGTCCTCTGAGGCCTGACCTCCCGTTGGGGACCCATCCTCAGAGGCTGCTAAAGCAGGAAGGGAGGAGAGGATGCTTCTCCCCTGGTGGTCCCCTAGCGTCTCCCTCTGCATGACCACGCACCTGTCACCTGTCAGCTTCAGAGCCCTGGTGCCCTGAGCATCTCCACTCCCCGACCCCTCTGGGAAACGGGCTGCGCCCCAACAGGGGTCCTGCTCTCTGTGGGGATCGGGTCTCTGCAGGTCACACTCTTTGTCTTGGTCTCTGGCTGAGGCCACAGGACTGGGGATGAGGGTCGGGATGGGCGCCCCTGGCTTTTCCTTCTGGTCAGCCCCATCCTCGCCAGCCTCCCTCTGCCCACGGGGGCATGTCTGGGCCTCAGGGAGGAGGAGGAGGAGGCGGCAGGGATGGGAGCGGCTTTGGCTCTTTCCATCCCTCCGGGAGGTGAGAGTCACCTCTGGGTGGCCCTTCACTTGGTATTTCCTCAGCCCATTGCAGCCCAAGGTCCCCTGGGGACAGGCCCTGACTGACCTGAGGACACAGGGGCGGGGCTGGGGATCCTCACCTGAGACCTTCAGCTTCAGGGGGTCGCTGGGCTGTGACCACACGTTAAGGGACGAGCTGGAACGATAGCACCTGTAGGTCCCCCCATGGGAGGGTTTCACGGGGCCCAGAGGGAAGATGGCCCGCCACCTCCCAGCATCTATCTTCGGTTCTGCTTCCATGTGTTGGGTTGGGTCAGTCTCTCCCTCCTTCAGCAGATGGAAAGGGCCCGATGTGAGGTTAGAGCTACAGGAGAGGGACACGTTCTCTCCTGAGGCCACCACAGGGCCTGGCTGGGCTGAGAGGGAGGGTGCATCACCCACTCCTGAGGGAGGAGAAAAGGGACAGTCACCCTCAGGCCCCAGGTGTGTGCTGTGAGGGGTGGGGTCCCCCTAAGGCCACACTTCATTCCCTCTGCCTGTGACCTGGAGCCCATAGTGAAGAGGGGATCCGGTGTCTCCCTTACCTGTCACCACCAGGAATAGGGGGTCACTCCGCTCTGAGAGTGTGTTCCCAGTGGAGTAATATGCACACCAGTACAGCCCTGCATGGGATGAGGTCGTGGCTCCAATGAGGAAACTGGCCATGTTGCTGGAGTTCTGTGCGATCCTCGTTTCCCAGGTTTCAGAGTCCTTCTCTTTGTACAGAAGGTAGGCACTAGCCTGCAGAGACCCCTGACACCAGATGGTCACAGAGCTCCCGTTGGTGACAATGGGGCCTGGGTCAGCCCAGATGGAGGGTTTGGGGACGTCTCCTGGAAAGGAATCAGACCTCAAATGTCTGGGACGTCCTTCTCCCCACGTTCCCCAGCTGTCACTCTCAGGTCCCCCCATATTGGTCACCTTTATTCCAAACCCTGTGTCTCCCCAGCTGCCCTGGGGGGATTTCCTGAAGCAGGAGATCAGGGGGGTGGGGGATAGACTCACCTGCCTGTACCTGGTTCCACGGGCCCTGACATAGTCCTGGAAGAGAAACCCTGTGAGAACCGTCCCCAAGCACACACAGAAGCTCCAGGCCTGGTGTGGGCCCCTGAGCAGTGGGGGCAGACCTGGGGCTGAGTATGTCTCCTCCCCGAGGAGTCCAGTAACCATTGAGCCTCCTGGGTCTTGGGGTCTCACAAGGCCAGGACCATGGGTTCCCTCCCCACTTCCCCACCAACTCACCAAGGCCCAGGAGGACAATGGAGGTCAAGGCTGTGGTGCTGTCTGCCATGGTCCCCAGTGGCACTGGTGACGGATAAAGTCCACAGAGCTGAGCAGGACAAGCAGATGTATGGATGTGACAGGGCCCCGGCTCCAGGTGACAGGTTCCTGTTTCCTCATCAGCCTCACTCTGCTCTCCCTGAAGGATGGCTGAGGACACAACAGGTCCAAGGACCTTCAGGACCAGATGTGAGTCTCAGCAGAACCCCCCGAGCTCTGCTTCCACCTCCTGTCCAACCCCAATCCAGAGGGTGACCCTGGTCCCAGTACCCGAAAGTGCAGGGCTCAGGGCAGAGTAGAAGGAATCACCAGTTCCTGCCTCTCACAGAGTCTGTGTGAACTTGGGAGTTCCCTTCTCTTTCCTGAGACTCCACACATGTATGTTTTCTTCTGTCTTTTAACCATTCTGTCAGCCCAGTGATGGCTACCAAGCTTTTAACCCCCTATCTCCTTTCCCTGGAGCTTACTGAGTTTCAGACAGGCAAGCAGGCTCTGGGTCAGGGTCCTTCCTCACATGGTCCCAGTGTGTAGATGACATAAACTCCACAGAGCCTGGGGAACAAAGGCAAGAATGGGCGTGACAAGGTCCAGTCCCCAAGTGATACGTCACTGGTTCCTCATCAGTGGCCTCACAGGAAGGGAAGTAGCCCCCTCCCCCGCCCCCCGCAGGGTGAGTCTTAGGGGACAGCAAGCTGTGGGAACTCTGAGACTGACCCGAGTCTCACCAGACCCCACAGGCTCTGCCTCCAACTCGTGCCAAACCCAAATCCAGAGGGAGACAGCCTTCCCAGGTGAGGAGGGAGGGTGGAGGATTAGGGCAGGAGAGGACCCCACCCAGTTTCTGGCCCAATTCTGGCTCTGCCTTTTCTAGACCCTCTGTGAGCTTGTGTAGGACAGTTCCCTTTCCTGAGCCTCTATCAGTGCAATTCTCTTCCCCTTTCCCACTGGCCAGGCTTTTCCCACTATCAGGCAGTATTACTGAGCAGTAACCCTGGGCTGTCACTGGCCAGGCACTAGAGTATCTGAAGATGAGAGATCCTTTCCCTGGACTCATGGGGTAAGAGGAATGAAGCAGATGTTATATTCAGACAGCAAATAGTTCAGTTACCGTCTCATGTACCCGTTGAGAGAATAAAGGAAATACGATAATGAGATTCAATGACAGGTAGATGCCATGCAACCCGGATCCTGGCTGAGGGGGTCCTTCTCAGGCATGAACTGAAAGGCATGAGCAGGGAGAAGCCCAGAGGTGGTGGGCTGGGTCAGGGGTTGTCTTGGACCAGAAAGATCTTGAGCTGTGGTCAGAAGTAAGAGCGGTCTGGCAAAGGCTCAAGCAAGTTACATAGGTCTAGCGAACCACGTAAATATTTGGGATTTTTAGCTCCAAGTCAATGGGATAAATTTGAATCAACAGATTGTATGAAACAATTTCTGAGTTAAAAAGGCAACCATTATGTGAAAATGTCATTCAGACTGGCTCTTTTGCTTAACACCATCTACACTAATAAAAGAGGAACATGCAAATTGACTGTACCTCCACTACACCCACCAGCTATGCCCACAAAGCCAATCAGGAGTGAGCATGCAAATTAACCCCAACCAAGATGGCTGCGGCCACAGAGAGCAATGGAGGAAGCCAGGTTTCCCGCCCTCCCTGGCCTCTACTCAGGCTACCAAGCTTTAATTATAGAATATAAATAAATACCAGATACCAGGGCCTCCACTTGGGTCACTGGGGGGTGTGGCTGTCCTGAAAATCACTATAGGATCCTCACCCAGGCCACCTTATGCCCCAAGGGAACCCCACCATGATCTGGGACCCCCTTCAGGGCAAACACGATGGCCACTACCTGTGCACCAGGGCTCTATCCTATATAATAAAAAAGTAATATGTAAGTTGACTGTCACTCCAACACACAAGGTGGCTGCCCCCATGTGGAAACAAGATGGTTACCCCCATGTGGACGCAAGATGGCCATCACAAGATGGCCAGCAGGGGAGGGCAGTTGGAAGGAACCAGGCCTGCAAAGGAGGGCAGTTGGGGGAGACCAGGCCTGCAGGGAAGGGCATTTGGGGGGGACCCAGGCCTGCAGTTGAGGGCAGTTAGGGGTGACCAGTCCTAGGAGGGCAGTTAGGAGCAAACAGGCTGGCAGGGGAGCAGTTAGGCATTAATCAGGCTGGCAGGGGAGTGGATAGGGGGTGACCAGGGGAGGGCAGTTGGAAGGGACCAGGCCTGCAAGGGAGGGCAGTTGGGGGAGACCAGGCCTGCAGGGAAGGGCATTTGGGGGGGGGGACCCAGGCCTGCAGTTGAGGGCAGTTAGGGGTAATCAGCCCTAGGAGGGCAGTTAGGAGCAAACAGGCTGGCAGGGGAGCAGTTAGGCATTAATCAGGCTGGCAGGGGAGTGGTTAGGGGGTGATCAGGCTGGCAGGCAGAAGGAGTTACTGTCAATCAGGAAGGCAGATAGATGAGCAGTTGGGAGCCAGCAGTTGTGGATTGTGAGAGGGTGATCTTACCAGGACCAGGCCTAAATGGGCAGTCAGACATACCTCAAGGGGTCCCAGATTGGAGAGGGTGCAGGCTGGGCTGAGGATCACCCCTCCCCCCTGTGCATGAATTTCATGCACTGGGCCTCTAGTTGATAATAAAACTCCAACGTTCCCCTGACTGCACAGAATTTCTAAACAACTCCGTTTCTAAGTGTGGTTTGGTGTGGAGGGGAGTGTGGGTTACTGGGTGAGTTGGCTGGTGGAGGGAGAGTCGTGTTTGCTGGGGCTGGTGAGTTTAGCCCAACCTGACCATTCACAGCCTTGAATATCAGAGGTGCAACTTGGATCTCTTTTGAAGGTGAAAACTGGTGGAGGGGTGCAGCAGGGGCTATAGGAAGGGTCCTCAGGAGGTGGGTAGAGGAGAGGAGTGGAGAAGGGGTGGTGCCTGGGTTGGAGGACCAGGAAGAAGGCTGATTGGATGACACAGATGAGACATCTTGAGTCTGTGGCGGGTGGGTGGGGGGACACTCCTCAGAAGGGCTCAATGGGGTCCATGCAGTGAGTTGATGGTCTATGTGAAGTGCTCCAATGAGGAAGTGAAGGCTGCTCCACTCTTCTTGGTGCCTGGAAGTGTCAGGGAGGACCCCACCCCAGGGGAGAGGGAGGCCTGTGAGGTGCTGAGAAGACTGATTTCCATTTCTCAGAGGAAAGCGGGGCCCCCACTGAGACTGTGGACTTTCCACACACACACTTCCCTTCTCTGACTTCCTGTTTCTGTAGGTCAGCACCAGCTGTTTCTTCATGGCTCTCGTTTGAAACCTCTAAGTTATTGCTGTCTCTTCTGGGCCCCTCCTCCCCTGAGCAGAGCTCCTCCCTCATACACTGGGAAATCTGTCTCCAGCACTGGGTATGCATTCACATGAAAGGCAACCCAGATTTCAACATGGACACAGACAGATTCGGGGACCTGCCACAATTTATGTTATTGATCTCCCAGCAAAGGACAATGATGTCAATGAAGAAAAAACAGATTTGAACAATTAGATAGTGACCATTTCACTAATTTGTTGAGACATACATTTACACAGTCAAGGTACTCAGCTATAAATATTTAAAGCCCAGTCGGTGTGGTTCAGTGGTTGAGTTGACCTATAAATCAGGAGGTCATGGTTCCATTCCTGGTGTGAGCTTGATCTCCAGTGTGGAGCATGCAGGAGGCAGCTGATCAATGATTCTCTCATCATGGATGTTTCCCTCACCCTCTTTCTTCATCTCTGAAATCAATAAGAATGTCTTTTAAAAGTTTCTCTCTTTGTCTTTAACCTTTGCCTTTTTAATTATGATGTGTCTTGGTGTGGGCATCTTTGGGTTTTTCTTGTTTGGGACTTCTGTGTCTTTTTTCGTCACTAGTATAGGGACATTTTTGGTCATTATTTCTTCAAATAAGTTCTCAATCCCTTGCTCTCTCTATTCTCCTTCTGGAACCCCAATGATGCTGACGTTGTTCTACTTCATGTTGTCCCAAAGGTCCCTTTCAGCTATCCTCATTCTTTTCATCGTTTGCTTGTTCTGATTGTTTTTTCCTACCGTGTCACTCATTTGATCTTTTATTTAACCTATGGTTTATTCCTTTCAGTGTATTCTTTTTCAAAATCCTCAACTGAGGATATGCTTTTTAAAAGTTTATTTATTTTATTTTTGTTAATCCTGCCCAGAGGATATGTTTTCCATTGCTTTTCAGAGAGAGTGGAATGGAGGTGGGGGTTGGGGAGGGGCTTGTGGAAGAGAGAAACAGTACGAGAAAGGCACATCAACTGATTTCCTCCCTCTCATGCCCTGACTGGGGATCAAACCTGAAACCCAGGTATGTGTTGAACCTGAGACTCTGTGGTGCAGGGGCCTATGTTCTACTCACTGAGAAACACTTGCCAAGGCTAAAAGTGAGTTTTGGGAGAGGAAGGGAATGAGAGAGGGAGAGAGAGAGACATTGACTGTTTGCCACCTGTATGCACCCTAACCAGGGACCAAACCCACAATTAGGTATGTTCCCCAAGTAGAAATTGAACCCATAGCCTTTGGTATATGTGGCAACGCTCTAGTTGAATGAACCACCCAGCCCCGGCCAGCATATTCATGATGTCATGGATTGTATTCTTCATTTCTGACTTCAAAAAAAAATTTTGTGTGTGCTATTATAACTTTTCCTAAGTTCCTGGAACATCTTTACAACCATTACTTTGAACTCTATATCTGATAAACTGTTTGGTTCTATTGATTTAACTGTTTGTTTATTTTTAATTTTATTTTTTTTAGATTTCTACTTTTTTTTTTTTTTCTTCATTTGGGGCCTGTTTCTCTGTCTTCCTATTTTGGTTGCCTCTTTGTGTTTCTGTGTATGAGCTAGTCTGCCATGACTCCTAGCTTGGTGGGGTGGCCTAATGTGGTAGGTGTCCTGTGGGACCAAGTGGCATAGTCTCTTTGATCACCTAAGCTGGGTGCTCTAGGGATGTCCCTTGCGTGGATTATGTGGGCCCTCCTCTTGTAATTGAGTCTGTAAATATATATATTCTGTCAACATTTATTTGCTCTTAGTCTAGCCCGACCTCTTCCCGCCCCCGTCCCTGGCTTCACCTCCGCCCCTGGCTCCACTCCTGGCTCCCATCATGCCCCTTCCCCACCTTCCGATACACCCCCCCCCCCCCCCCATCACCAGTCCCTCATCTTCAATCTCTCATCTGCACAGACAACTAGTCAACTCATTCCCAGAGAGAAAGTTCGGGCTGGCCATCTGGTTGACCCAATCTCTGATGGTCCCCACTGCTGCTTGAGACTAAATCCAGGCCGGCCATCTGGTTGACCCCATCTCTCAGTCTCCACTGCTGCTCAAGACTGTCGCGGCCCGGCCATCTGGTCGACTGGAGGCGCGCAAAGATTCATCCCCGCAGCCGATTTGCAGCAGCAGTTTTGGGAGTGTTGGTTGACAGGGTTCCTCGGAGGAGGAGGAAAATATGGGGAGGAGGGAGCCGGACCTCAGTCCCCCTGGGAAAGGGGCCATGTTCACCGCCACCCATACCCACTTCCCTGTCCCAGTCCGGAGTCAGAAGGCCCTGGCGGGGACACAAGAAGAGGCGATGGTCCCTGTGCCAGGAGGGAAAGGAAGGAAAGGAAGGGGACCCCGCCTTCAGCTCCGTGTGTGCGTGGTTTCCCGCCCTCCCCTGTCCCTACTTCAACCTTCCACTCGCTGCCCTGGGGAAGGAGAGGGACAGAACAAGACAAACCCTGTGTCCAGGGCTGACTTTCAGTAGATTGCAGTGAGGGACCTGCTCTGCTAAGTGCGAAACCCCAACCCATAATGGTTCAGCACCAGGTTTCCCAGGAACCTTCATTGTGAGAAGGGTGTGTGGGCGGCCCCCTTTCCTTGATGAAGGGCTGTCCGCATGGGACCCCATGTAATTGAGTCTTGATGGCTACTGTGTTTGTGCGGGGGACCCATCCTCAGGCAGGCTGACTGGGAGGCTCAGCCCTAAACATGGCCTGCAAGCTGCTGGGCAGACGCTGACCACACGAAGTGACTTTCGCCTCAGCAGGGTCTGCTGTCTGGAGATCTCCCTTTGGATGTGCTGCTTGTGAGGCTAGTTGGGTCCTGCTCTGATGTCCTCTGAGGTTGGCCATGATGGGTTGGTTCTGGGCCTCTTGGGAGGCACTCTGGTGCAGGCCAAAGTCAGCCACTGCCTGTGAGCTGGGGCGGCCCTTTTCTCCTGCCTGCCCCTCCTGCTATGGATCCTGGGCTCTGTGACTCCTCCTCGGCCAGTCTCCAGGTGGTCATTCAGGGTGATGGCTCCTTCATTTAGTTGTGATTCCAGGTTGTTCCTGGGAAGAGGTGCTTCCACATACTCCGCCTCCACCTGGAAATCTGCATCTGCAGTTCACTTGGGAGTTGTCAGGAGGCCGCATGGAAGGACTGCAGGAAGAGGAGCACAGCAGCATGGCGCACACCTGGTCAGCCTCAGCCTTGTAGGGCTTTCTAGGCTCCTGGGGGCCTGCAGGTGGGTCAGTGAGGCCAGAGGCGGGGAGGGGGAGGGAGGAGAGCTGCGGTAGGACTGTCCTGGCAGCTGCTGCCTAACACTCACTTAAAGCGTCCTCTTGCCTCTGTTTTGTTCTAAGTTCACACATTGATTATTGAGAAGTCTTGCTTTGATTTAAAAATGTAGGCGTATGGTTATAGAACCAGTGACTCCCAGAGGGTGCCAGGAGCAGCCGGGTCCACATCTGGTCTCCAGGCTGCTGTGGTCAGGAGGCCTCACCCTACAGCTCTGGCTCTAAGCCAGGCATGGGTTTCTGTTTGTCGTATGTGCAATGACCAGGGGTTTTTGCTGTGCTGTCGGGGGGTGAGGAAGACATGGTTCTGCTTCCCCTTGGTCTAAAACGGGAAGTCTGAAGTGCAATTGGCTTTTAGATGTTAATGATGTATTTTGTGACATTGGAATCATTCTTTTCAAATTAGAATAATAGATCTTTATACTATTTTAGATATTGTGTGTGTGTTTGTGTGTATATTGGTGTTATGTCCATGTGCACCCATGTATATGTCTGTATATGTTTGTGTATATGTCCGTGTGTGCCCGTGTGTATGTCCAAGTATATATGTGTATGTATTTCATACATGCATGTGTATATATGTGTGTATTTCATACATACATAAAGTTAAGGAGCATTTAGCAGTGAAACTTTATGAACTCTAGTCACTTTGCAGGAAAGATTAAAAAAGATATACTTTTTATTGATTTCAGAGAGGAAGAGAGAGGGAGAGAGAGAGATACAAACATCAATGATGAGAATCACCTCTGGAGATCGTGCCCGAAATCCAGACCTGTGCCCTTGACTGGAATCAAACCTGAGACCCTTCAGTCCACAGTCTAATGCTCTTTCCACTGAGACACACCAGCTAGGGCTTCAGGAAAGTCTTTCCTTACAGCTTCAATGTATTTAACATACATGACAGTTCCAAGTTTCATACATCACCCACATGAGTGAAATCATGCGGTTCTTGTCGTTTTCTGTGTGACTTTCCTCACTTAGTGGGATGCTCTCCAGATCCATCCATGTCGTGGCAAATGGCAGTATTTCATGTTTTATGACTGAGAAATATTCTGTTTGTATAGTTACCACGTCTTTACCTCATTATAAGTTCAAGGACACGTAAGTTGTTTCTCTGTTCCATTTCATAGGTTTGATGTATGATATTTTCATTGTCATTCACTTAAAGCATTCTCTCACTTTCGTTTTGTGCTAAATTCACACATTGATTATTGAGAAGTCTTGCTTTGATTCCAAAATGCAGGCATATTGCTTATAGAACCAGATGACTCCCAGAGGGTGCCAGGAGCTGCCGGGGGAGCACATCTGGACTCCAAGCTGGCTGGGGTCACTAGCCGAGTATCCCTGGAGGAAGTACCCATGGCTTCTGGGGTCCCACAGGCCCCACCCCCTGGAGTATGGGGTCTGAGTCTTTCCTGAGCTAGTGGAAGGCTAGAGCAGCGTACAAGCTGGGTTCTCCTGGGGGCTCCTCTGATGGGGAGGATGAGGGTGCAGTTGTCTGCCGTCTAAGGGTCAAGAGGTTCAGCTGGGCGTAGGTCACATCCTGGGAGTTGTCAGATGCAGCCTGCAGCAGGGGGAGAGAGAAAGATAGATAGATAGATAGAGAGAGAGAGAGAGAGAGAGAGAGAGAGAGAGAGAAATGACACTTGGTTGGGGTTTTGGAAACCTGGAGGACTGCAAAGAATGGGACTCACCAGACTGTCCATCTGTCTGTCCTCTTTTGCTTGTCTGCCCTTTGTGTCCAGCACTTCCTTTGACAGGGAGGAAGAAGAGGCAGCCGTTCCCTGCGTGGGTCTTGGTCTTGAGCGGTTCACCTGGGCATACGTCACTCCCTGGGGGTCTTCATCCTGCCCGTTCTGCTGGAGACAGTGCCTCCTGTCAGTCATCCTCAAGTTGCCAGGGAGATGACTTACACTTCAAATAGATCAGGTCCTTCTGCTGGTGGAACCTGCAGGGCCTTCCTAAGACCTGGGGCCTCTGGTTCTGACTCTCATCCTAACGCGCTCTCTCTTGCTCACTGGGCTCCAACCTCATGGTCCCTCCTCCTGAAGAAGCAGGCCCTGCCCCAGGACCTCTGCACCCGCTCTTTCCCTGTCCGGCACCATGCACTCTATCCCCTCCTCTTGCTTTATGTTCCTTCACAGCACTGTGCTCTCTGGGACACTGTCTGCTTGTTTGCATATTGTCTCCCTCGTCCACAGGTGAGCTTGAGGCGTGTGGACACTGTGGCTCAGGGCGGCACCGTGGCCCCTAAATGGAGCCGGTAAACAGGGAGCCCCTCACATCTGCTGGGTGAATGAATGAAGGGGTCCTGGGGACCTGTGGGTGAGTCACTCACTCCTGCCTCCTCCTGAGACCTGGGGCTGCACAACGTAAGACAGAGGACGAGGGGCCAGCAAAAGGGGCCCCGTAGGAGGGGCTATGGGGTCACAAGGAACCCAGGAGGAGTGAGTCACAGCAGGATGACCTGGGGGCCCAGAGGGGATGCTGCTAAGAACCAGGTGAGGTGGGACAAGGAAGGCCCATTGGATTAAACTGGGCAACAGAAGGTCCTTGGTGGCCTGGGCAGGAGCAGGGGTCTCACCTGAGGGTCCAGCTCCATGCTCTTCCCAGGCTGCGGGTCCTTCACAGAGGCATCTGCTGGGGAAGAACAGGGGGTGTCTCCTGGCAGGTCCCCGAGACCTCAGGGCTGCAGACCTCGCCTGCTCCCAGATGGGCCATTAACCCAGGGTGAGGTGAGGCACCAGGTCACACAGCGTGGGTCTCAGTCCTTCTCACCCTGATCCCCATTCTCCCAGCCTAACCCTCCCCATCCCCTCCTGAAATCCCAGTGTCCATCCCCCAGGGCAGCTGTCTCTTCCTCTCACAGAGGGGCTCCTGCTGGGTGTCAACAGCGGGGCTGCAGCTGGGGGTGGAGCCAGGAGAGTTAGGAGTGTGTGTGTGTGTGGGAGGGGGGAGGTTAGGGAAAGCCTGGGGTCCTTGGGGAAGGCTGACACTCTATCTGAGCCAAACCAGCTAGGGCTCCACATTTTCTGATTTGAGGTTTGAGAGAAATCCACTCAGCTGACCTTCCCCAGCTGTTTGGCTTTCCTGTGGCAGGTGCTCTGAGGCCCCCTCCTGTGACCCAGGTCATCCCTACTCACCAGATGTCCTGCCTCTGCTCTGACGCCGGAATCGCAGGAAGAGGAAGAGAAGGAGGGAGAGCAGCAGGACCAGGGCCACTGAGACCCCGATCAGGACGATCAGGTTCCATTTGTGATCTTGAACACAAGTGATGTCATGAATGAGCCAATGAGGTAATAAATGAGCACCTACTGTGTGAGAGGCACATGCTGGGTCTGTCATTCATCTCTTCTAACCTCACAACAGTCAGGTGACAGGGATTGCGGACCCCACCACCTACTTCACTGAGGCTCAGAAAGGTTAATCACATGCCTCATGTCACCCAGCCTAGGCGGGGCAGCCTGGGACTGGAACCCGGGACAGGGGGATCCCTGTGTGTTGTTGTTACTATTATTATTGATTTAATCCTAACCCAAGGATATTTTTTTCCATTGATCTTTAGAGAGACAGTAGAAGTCAGGCAGGGGGGGGGGGAAAGAGAGAGAGAAAGAGAGAGAGAAACATTGATGTAAGACAGACAAATTGACTGGTTGCCTCCCACATGTGCCCTGACCAGGGTGGGAGATCAAATCTTCAACTAAAGTTTGTGCCCTTGACCAGGGTCCAAGCCTGACATGCTTTAGTCTGAGGGCTGATGTTCTAATAGGAGGAGCAAAACTGGTTAGGGTATTATTACCATTGTTGTTATTGTTATTGTTATCAGTATTATTCATGCTGTCCTTGTACCTGCAGGTAGACCCACCCTCTCCATATCAGCCCAGATCCCTGTCCCACTCTGCAGCCTGATTGCCCCCACACCCCGCCACCCACAGGGGGGCCTGTGCACATGGGACACCTTTGGGGAGGGCTGGAGGGAGGGCTGGTCCTTCCTGAGCTCTAACTGGGCAGGGCTGCGTGCTGAGGGCCTTCCCTTTGGGGGAGGTGGGGCCTGACCCACAGCCCATGGACCAGGACTCGGAGGAACAGACATGTCCAAGGTCCCACAGTTGGGCGGGGGCCGAGCCGGGACTAGGACCCAGGCTGAGGCTTCTCCTCCTGACTCCACGGCTGCTCCTTGGAATCCTTGAAGGCTGTGGAGGAGGCTCAGACACCACCTGAGTCTGCAACACACACACACACACACACACACACACACATACACACACCACACACAGATACACAGACACACACACACACACACACACACACACACACACCACACACACATATACATACACACACAGACACGACCACACTAAGTATTCAGCCTTCGGAGAACTTGGTCCCAGTGAGAAGGAGGAAATCTCCTCAGGCCATTACCCAGGAAGTGGCTGAGCCAAGACCAACACTGAGCTCCTCCCACCCACCACCTCCTCCCACACCCTCACTTAGTCCTCTGAGGCCTGACTTCCCATCGGGGACTCATCCTCAGAGGCTGCTAAAGCAGGAAGGGAGGAGGTCGTGGGGGCTGCTCCTCCCTGGAGGTCTCCCACCATCTTTGTCCCCCAACCCCTCTGGGAGACAGACCTAGCCCAGCAGGGGTCCTGCTCTCTGTGGGGATCGGGTCTCTGCAGGTCACACTCGTGTCTTGGTCTCTGGCTGAGGCCACAGGACTGGGGACGAGGGTCGGGATGGGCGCCCGGGCCTTTCCTTCAGGTCAGCCCGATCCTCGCCAGCCTCCCTCTGCCAACGGGGCATGTCTGGGCCTCAGGGAGGAGGATGAGGAGGAGGCAGGGATGGGAGTGGCTCTGGCTCTTTTCATCCCTCTAGGAGGTGAGAGTCCCCTCTGGGTGGCCCTCCACCTGGTACTCCCTCAGCCCATTGCAGCCCAAGGTCCCCTGGGGACAGGCCCTGACTGACCTGAGGACACAGGGGTGGGGCTGGGGCTCCTCACCTGAGACCTCCAGCTCCAGGGGGTCGCTGGGCTGTGACAGCAGGTAGGGGGTGGAGCTGTTGGAGCCATAGCACCTGTAGGTCCCCTGGTGGCCTGAGGTCACAGAACTGAGGGTGAAGGTGGCCTGAGAGGGTACAGACATGTTCTGCGGACGAAGGCGCTGGGGAGGGTCCAGTGACCCCTCCCTGTGCAGGTGGAAGGTGTCAAACCAGCTCTCAGCCCCACACTGCAGGGTCACGGTTGCTCCCCTGAGCACTGAGAGTCCTGGCTGGGCTGAGAGGGAGGGTTTCCTGTACATTCCTGGGGAGAGGAAGGTTTTGATGTACAGAGAGCCACCCCTCCCTCACACCCTTGACCCTGAGCTGAGGGACCTTGTCTTTCGCTAGAGACTGTGTCTGTGACCTCTCCCAACTCCTGTCAGTCATTCTTGGGGGTGTCCTTTATTTTCATGAGCTCACCCTCATTCTCTCTCCCGCCCCTAAGCCTCTCCCAGCTCAGCCTCTGCCCCAGGCCCCTCTCCTGTATCCCATCACCCCAAGGTGACCCTTGACCCAGAGCCCTGAGCAGACCCTCAGCACAGGGGCAGGGCTGACTCCTCACCTGCCACCAGGATGTCCAGGGGGGCGCTGGGGGCCGACCACACAGAGGAGAGGCGGTGTCCACTGTAGCACCTGTACCGGCCCCCGTGGTTGCGGTTGACGTGGCCCAGGGGGAAGTCGGGGCTGAGCTGCCCATCGAGGCGCTGGGGGTGTGTGAGGCCCTCGTCCTTGGTCAGTGCGAACCTGTCAAAGCCGGCCTCTGCGTGGCACTGGAGGGTCAGGCTGTGTCCAGGCAGCACCAGCGTGCCTGGCTGGGCCGTGAGTGCAGGCTCCTTGTACACACCTGGGAGGAGGGGACAGTGGCACCAGGGGGCACCCCACATCGCCCACTGGGCTGCAGTGAGAGGTCTCCCATGTCCCTCCCTGAGCCTCCCGCCTGTGGGTCTGTCCCCAAGAGGCCAGTGTCACTGACCCCATGAGCCCAGCTGAGCTCCCAGCTTAGATCAGGTCTTTGGGCCCAGGGAACAGATGGGGATGCACCCGGGTCTGTCCTCACCTGTGACCTCGATGTGCAGAGGGGCACTGGGCCGTGACCACACGTTGGGGTTGGACTTTTGAGAAGCATAGCATCTGTAGGTGCCCCCATGGGAGGTGTTCACGGGGCCCACAGGGAAGATGGGCTGCCACCTCCCAGCATGCTTCATCTGTTCAGATTTCATGTTTTGGGGCAAGTCAACCCCTCCCTCCTTCAGCAGATGGAAAGGGCCCGATGTGAGGTTAGAGCTGCAGGAGAGGGACACGTTCCCTCCTGAGGCCACCACAGGGCCTGGCTGGGCTGAGAGGGAGGGTGCATCACCCACTCCTGGGAGAAGAGAAAGGGTCTGTGTTAAAGGGACCGTCACCCTCAGGCCCCAGGTGTGTTCTGTGAGGGGGGGATCCCCCCGAGGACACACTTTACTCCCTCTGCCTGTGACCTGGAGCCCACAATGGGGAGGGCACCCAGTGTCTCCCTTACCTGTCACCACCAGGAGCAGGGGGTCACTCCAATGTGACAGTATGTCCTCAGCGGTGTAATATACACACTGGTACTGCCCTGCATGTGATGGGTTTGTGGCTCCAATGAGGAAGCCGGCCTTGTTGCTGGAGTCCTGTGGGATCTTCGTGTCCAAGAGCTCAGAGCCCCCCTCTTTATACAGAACGTAGGCACTAGCCTGCAGAGACCCCTGACACCAGATGGTCACCGAGCTCCCGTTGGTGATAATGGGGCCTGGGTCAGCCCAGATGGAGGGTTTGGGGACGTCTCCTGGAAAGGAATCAGACA